CCCCAGCCATGGCGGCCTGCAGGAGGAAACATGTTCTGCTCGCTGCCGCGCTCTCCAGCCTCGTCATGCTCACTGCAGGCTTCATCCCTCCGTCATGCCTGCCGACAAAGTCGCTGAGAGCGTCTGCTCGCATGCTCGTGCCGCGGAAGCGCCGAGGGCGCGGGCAGGTCATGATGGCTAGAGGGGGGCTGGGTGGCTTCTTCCGAGAAGTTTCCCTCCCTCCCTCCCTCCCTCCCTCCCTCTTGCTATTTCTTTCCTCTCCCTCCTTCCCAACTTTCCTTCCATCATTATTCTTTCCCTACCTTTCATCGATCCCCTTCCCCCCGGTTATCCTCCTCCTCCTCCTCCTCCTCCTCCTGCCTCTTGACTTGGCTTTCAGCTTGCTTTGTCGGGTTGACTCGTGGAAGCTGAAAACTCTTGAAACGCACCCTGCGATCGTTGAGAGGTCTGCGGCAAGGCGGGCCAACCCTCCAGGGCTAACCTCCTCTCCTTCAAGGTGTTTCTCCGACCCGCTGGCCTCCCTCAAGAACAGGGAGCGGCTTGAGAGGATCATGAAGTGGCACCAGAACTACGATCAAGGTGAAGCGACGATGGTGAGAAGGAGAAGAGAGGGAGCGCTGATCCTCGGAGCAGCTGCATCCTCCTCCACCTGCACAGCAAGGCAGGAGGAGGAGCAGAACAAGAGCAAGGACCACCCGGGCAAGTGTGGTGGGTTGTCGGAATGGCTCGGCGAGCATTCGCAGGGGGCAGAGACAGAGACGTCTGAAGGTAAGAGGAGGCAGCAAGTGAGGAGGAGGGAGGGAGGGAGGGAGGAAGGAAGGGGAAGGGGAGGAAGCAGGGAGCAGGGAGGGAGAATGGGGCATTTAACTTGCTGTAAAGATGCTGTCGTCAGCAACGCTATGAAGAAGGTTGGGTGTGACAAGCGGTGCGGTTAAACTTCGCGTGTTTGACAACCTGCCCTGACCTGAGGTGTTAGCGTCTGGAGTACCCTGCAGAGGCTGGAGATGTTCCAGGGGGCAGACGCGCGATGCCTGGCGGAGCTGGTGACGAGGCTGGTGGAGGTGAAGGTGAGAAGAGCCCAAAGTCAAGGGGTGATGAAGTTGCAAGCGCTGAGTTTCCTGCCGTCAGCTGGCGCGGGGGGACAAGTTGGATGCGGCCGAGCTGCGAAGTCTCTACCTCTTCTCTTCCGGTCATTGCAAAGTTGAGTCGACACAAGGAAAGTTCTGCTCCCTACTACTTCCCTGTGTTCCCCTCTCCCCTCCCTCCCTCCCTCCCCTCCTGCTCCTGCTCTTTCTGCTCCTCCTCCTACCCACTCGGCTCTGAGACGATACTTGCAGGCGACGTCGTTGAGTGGAAGGAGGATGAAGGGATTGTCGGGGAGGTGGCAGGATTCTCAGCGCCGGTTCGGAAGGTTGTTTGCCTTGGTGAATGTAAATTTTTCGAGCTGACGGAGAATGTCATCGGTAAGAGGACAGAAAATTCTTTTGATTTTCTGACGGAACTCTCTCCCTCCCTCCATCGATCACTACTACCGCCGTTCCTCCTCCCCTCGTTCTCCTGCTCTCCTTCTCTCTCCCCTGTCCTCCTCCCATGACATGTTCTCCTATCTCTTACAGGGACCGTGTTCAACATGTATCCTCACGTCTACAAGGATCTTGCATCAGACGTGAAGGAGAAGCTTCAGCTGCGAGTCGAAGGCAAGTCAACAAGCGCGTCGACAAAGAGGAAGCTGAAGGTAACTGCCGTCCCTTAATCCATGTCAACTCCCTCCTCCTGCTCCTTCTCCTCCTGCTCCTGCTCCTGCTCCTGCTCCTGCTCCTGCTCCATCTCTTCTCACCCTTCTCCTACAGCTAAGATTCAGGGCCTCCACGGGCGTAGACGATCGCTCGACCCCCGAGGCCTGGAGTGTGACGAGCCGAACGGTCCACCGGCTGGCCCTGCATGACCTGATCCTCTCTCAGAAGATCGACATGTCCACTGAGCACCGGGACCTTGTCTTCACCATCGACTACGACGGCCAGCAGCTCCTCACCTCCTCCCAGCCTCCGCAAAGTCAGACGCACAGCAACGTCTCCTCCATGTTCCACGGCCGCGTCATCCGCTGGGCCGGCTGCACCGAGATCCCCATGGAGATTGACAACGGCGACCACGTGGTGCGGCTGACCATCTACAAGCACCGCTCCTTCCGCCGCGATCACTTCATGGGCTCTGCCGAGGTGTCGCTGCGGGGGATCGTGAAGGAGAGCAGCCCCGTCCACACCAGTCGCCTCCTCACCCTCCCCCTCCTCGACAAGCCGTCAAGGCAGGGAGGAGGAAACGTCAACGACTGGGGCACCATCTCCTTCACCCTCACCACAGACCTCGTGCGCAAATACCCGTACAGGCTGAGGGTCCCGAGCGTCGAGTTGTCTCAGGATCGGTCTGTCGTGGTGGATCACACGGGAAAGGAGACGATGGAGCTGCGATGGCGGACGTTCCCGATGGAGATGGGCATGAAGGACTCCGACAGCTTCACGTGGGTTGAGAGCCACGTCGACTTGATGGATGCGGAGGGAACTTGCCACGGGCAGGTGGTGACGTGGCTGACCTCAAACTCGCACGTCAAGGCAAGGATGATCACGAGGGAAGGCGATCACTGGGGGACTTTCTTCCTCTTCGCCTGCCAGGTCAACGAGCTTGCCAAGGGCTCCCTCCTCCAGCAGCTGCGCTGGAAGATCGTCACCAGTTTCGACTCGCTGCAGATCGGGCTCAGTAGCACGGGCAAGAACGCAACGAGCCTCTTCGTCAACCTAGTCAGGGTCGGGCCGGGCCAGGACAAGCCTGGAGCTGCTCACTCCATCGGGCGGGTCAAGTTGGACTGTGATGTGGAGAAGGAGCACACATCGATAGAAGTGGAGCAGGGGGAGGACATGGTCAAGGTGGTTCAGTGCGCTGTGGCAATCCGAGAAGCTCGCAGGCTGGTTCCCAAGTTTCATAAAAGGCTGGTCGGGGACCCGGCACTGACCCTGGGCAAGTTCGAGGAGAACTACCTGACAGCGCAAGGCGATGACGGCGGGCCCCGGAGGAGAAGGTTCTACACGCGCTGAACCAACCCTCATCCTCTCGTGAGAGTAACCTGAAAGATTTCCTTCCCCCTCGCCAGCTGCAGAGTAACGGAGCTGCCAGCATGGCCGGTGAGCCTGGAGCGGATGAAAGCAATATCCTCGTTTACGACCTGCGGGCATCCAGTCAGTTGTCACACTAGCCCTTATAAACGATTTCTACCCACCTGTATCCCATTGATGGCCACTAGCTCGTCCCCCACCTGTATCTTCCCACTCTTATGTGAAGGCCCGTTGGGGAGCAGCTCGGCGATGCAGTGAGGCGGAGTGTCCCGAATCCTCATCCCCACACCGAACAGCTGCGGTGGCTTCTTGGGTACAATCTCGTTCTTCTCCGCATCCTCTTGCTTCGAGCGACTCGCCTTGCACTTGGGGCACAAGTCCCGCTCTGCCAAGGCAAGCGCAAGCTCCTGCTTCAACCGGGCCAGCTCGTTCTGTAGATTTGCTGAGGAAGCCAGACAATCTTTCAGTTCCCCTTCTTTCTGCCCGACGAGATTCAGTGCTGTTTGCAGATCGGCTTGCAGCTTCTCGACTTTGTCTCTTTCCTGCTGCAAGACTTGCAAATCAATCATGCCCTTCATCTTCATCAGCAGGTCTTGAATCTGATCATCCTTCTTCTGCATCTCCTTCTGCATATCTGACTTCGAGTCATCGCTGGAGGATCTTTGATGAACACACTTCGAGGTCGCAATGCAAGCTTGACTGACAACGGACAAAACCGCTTCGATGGATTGAGACAACACATCTAGACCAATCGACATGTCAACAATCGACTGATACATAACTGCATGTCCGGCAACTGTACAGACAGAGTTCTGCAGGGAACTGCGTTTGCCAATTTCATCCTGCAGTGTCAAAATTTCCTCATTCAGCAGACCAACGTCAAGATCAAACTGCAACCGTGCTTTCTCAAGCTCGCCCTCGAGCCTTCGTGCCTCCTCCTTCGCTCCCTCCAGCGCCCTCGACACCTCCCCCTCCCGCCGACTGAGCTCCCCGACCTCCTGTCTCAAGGACTTCCTCTCCTTCTCGAGCTCTGCAACCCGCCCCTCCAGCTCCTGTCGCTGATCCTCTCCGGCTCGGGTTCGCTCCTCCAGCCCCCGCCTCTCCCTCTCGCTGGCCTCTAGCCGCTCCTCCAGCCCTCGCTTCTGTGCCTTGAGTGCCTCGCATGCCTGTGCCAGCTCCTCAAGATCGTTGCGTGCCTTGTTGAGCATCGCCTCCTTGGCCGCTGCTTCAGCCTCTAGGCCTTCCATCTTCGCCCTGGCTTCCCTCGTCGCTTCATCCTCTAAGCTCGTCAAGTTCCTCTCAAGCTGCCCGAGCCGCTCCATGCTCTCTGCCAAGAAGCCCTTCGAGGCTCTCTGGATCCCCTTCATGTGCCCGAGTACAGATTCCAGCTTCTCCTCGGCCTCGGCCTCCTGCTTCCTCGCCCTTTCCACCGATATCGCGTGCCTCTCTCGTACCTCCTGCAAGTCCGCCCTCGCCTTCTCCAGCTCCCGCGTCAGATCTTCCCGTACTGCCTCCCATGACTCCCCGTCCTTCCGACGCTCGGCCGTCTCTGCCTCCAGTGCCCTCCTTAGCCTGCTCAGCTCGTCCCATAGCCTCTCCCCCTCCCCACACGCCTCTGCTGTCTTCTCCAGCAGGCTCCCGACGTCCTCCTCGCCGCCGCCTCTGACCAGGCTGACCTCATACCCTTCCCCTCCCCCGCCTCGGCGGAGCTTCAGACGTACCAGGCTCCCTACAGACCCCGTGATCATCCGGTCACAGTCTTCGACCGATTTCATCATCACACGACCATCGTTCACTTCAACCAGCACGTCCCCGGCCCGTATCTTCCCCGCCGCTGCCGCTGCGCTCCCCTCTGCCACCTGGCTTACTACCGGCCCTGACCCGGACTCTCCCCGTCCAAGCTCTATCCCTACCCCGCTGCTGGCCGCCCCCCGTGCCTGCTTGCAGATCGACGCGTGCATCTGCTTCCCAGCTGCAACGGCTGCCTCGGTCAGCCTTCTTGCCTCCTCCCGCTGCCTGGCGCTCGTCGCCTGCTCCTCCTCGAGCCTCTGCGCTGCTGTCTCGAGGCGTTTCTGCAGCTCAGCCTCCCTGTTCTTGGCGTGCTCGAGCTCCTTCATCAACGCCCGCTCAGTCTCCATCAGCTCCTCGCCTCGCTTCGCCTTCTCTCCAAACTCCTTCTGCAGTCGCTCCAGCTCCTCTGTAAGCCGTGCCTGTTCCCTCCCTGCTTGCCTTCGTGCCTTCTCAAGCTCGCCCTCGAGCCTTCGTGCCTCCTCCTTCGCTCCCTCCAGCGCCCTCGACACCTCCCCCTCCCGCCGACTGAGCTCCCCGACCTCCTGTCTCAAGGACTTCCTCTCCTTCTCGAGCTCTGCAACCCGCCCCTCCAGCTCCTGTCGCTGATCCTCTCCGGCTCGGGTTCGCTCCTCCAGCCCCCGCCTCTCCCTCTCGCTGGCCTCTAGCCGCTCCTCCAGCCCTCGCTTCTGTGCCTTGAGTGCCTCGCATGCCTGTGCCAGCTCCTCAAGATCGTTGCGTGCCTTGTTGAGCATCGCCTCCTTGGCCGCTGCTTCAGCCTCTAGGCCTTCCATCTTCGCCCTGGCTTCCCTCGTCGCTTCATCCTCTAAGCTCGTCAAGTTCCTCTCAAGCTGCCCGAGCCGCTCCATGCTCTCTGCCAAGAAGCCCTTCGAGGCTCTCTGGATCCCCTTCATGTGCCCGAGTACAGATTCCAGCTTCTCCTCGGCCTCGGCCTCCTGCTTCCTCGCCCTTTCCACCGATATCGCGTGCCTCTCTCGTACCTCCTGCAAGTCCGCCCTCGCCTTCTCCAGCTCCCGCGTCAGATCTTCCCGTACTGCCTCCCATGACTCCCCGTCCTTCCGACGCTCGGCCGTCTCTGCCTCCAGTGCCCTCCTTAGCCTGCTCAGCTCGTCCCATAGCCTCTCCCCCTCCCCACACGCCTCTGCTGTCTTCTCCAGCAGGCTCCCGACGTCCTCCTCGCCGCCGCCTCTGACCAGGCTGACCTCATACCCTTCCCCTCCCCCGCCTCGGCGGAGCTTCAGACGTACCAGGCTCCCTACCGGTCCAACAAGCATGTCTCCATGCCCCTCCTGGCCTTTCGCGTTTCTCCCGTCTACCTCCACAAGCACGTCCCCGGCCCGTATCTTCCCCGCCGCTGCCGCTGCGCTCCCCTCTGCCACCTGGCTTACTACCGGCCCTGACCCGGACTCTCCCCGTCCAAGCTCTATCCCTACCCCGCTGCTGGCCGCCCCCCGTGCCTGCTTGCAGATCGACGCGTGCATCTGCTTCCCAGCTGCAACGGCTGCCTCGGTCAGCCTTCTTGCCTCCTCCCGCTGCCTGGCGCCCGTCGCCTGCTCCTCCTCGAGCCTCTGCGCTGCTGTCTCGAGGCGTTTCTGCAGCTCAGCCTCCCTGTTCTTGGCGTGCTCGAGCTCCTTCATCAACGCCCGCTCAGTCTCCATCAGCTCCTCGCCTCGCTTCGCCTTCTCTCCAAACTCCTTCTGCAGTCGCTCCAGCTCCTCTGTAAGCCGTGCCTGTTCCCTCCCTGCTTGCCTTCGTGCCTTCTCAAGCTCGCCCTCGAGCCTTCGTGCCTCCTCCTTCGCTCCCTCCAGCGCCCTCGACACCTCCCCCTCCCGCCGACTGAGCTCCCCGACCTCCTGTCTCAAGGACTTCCTCTCCTTCTCGAGCTCTGCAACCCGCCCCTCCAGCTCCTGTCGCTGATCCTCTCCGGCTCGGGTTCGCTCCTCCAGCCCCCGCCTCTCCCTCTCGCTGGCCTCTAGCCGCTCCTCCAGCCCTCGCTTCTGTGCCTTCAAGGCATCCAGAGCTTGTCTGCATAGTTCTAGGGATATTGCTGTTCCGTTGAAGTCTTCTCTTAACGTTTGATACTTTTGATTCAAATGTTCGATTTCGATGTTTACACAGGTCTGCGTTTCCATCAGGGTATGGTGCATTTCATTTACCTTGTCCTTGAACGTATCAGTGAAACTGACTCTCATCTCCCGAGCTTGCACAAAGAGATTCAAATATGCTTTTTCTTTGCGAGCGAATTCCATCTCCTGCTTCCTCGCCCTTTCCACCGATATCGCGTGCCTCTCTCGTACCTCCTGCAAGTCCGCCCTCGCCTTCTCCAGCTCCCGCGTCAGATCTTCCCGTACTGCCTCCCATGACTCCCCGTCCTTCCGACGCTCGGCCGTCTCTGCCTCCAGTGCCCTCCTTAGCCTGCTCAGCTCGTCCCATAGCCTCTCCCCCTCCCCACACGCCTCTGCAGTCTTCTCCAGCAGGCTCCCGACGTCCTCCTCGCCGCCGCCTCTGACCAGGCTGACCTCATACCCTTCCCCTCCCCCGCCTCGGCGGAGCTTCAGACGTACCAGGCTCCCTACCGGTCCAACAAGCATGTCTCCATGCCCCTCCTGGCCTTTCGCGTTTCTCCCGTCTACCTCCACAAGCACGTCCCCGGCCCGTATCTTCCCCGCCGCTGCCGCTGCGCTCCCCTCTGCCACCTGGCTTACTACCGGCCCTGACCCGGACTCTCCCCGTCCAAGCTCTATCCCTACCCCGCTGCTGGCCGCCCCCCGTGCCTGCTTGCAGATCGACGCGTGCATCTGCTTCCCAGCTGCAACGGCTGCCTCGGTCAGCCTTCTTGCCTCCTCCCGCTGCCTGGCGCTCGTCGCCTGCTCCTCCTCGAGCCTCTGCGCTGCTGTCTCGAGGCGTTTCTGCAGCTCAGCCTCCCTGTTCTTGGCTTGATCAAGTTCAGATTTCAAAGTTTGGAAGGCTTGTTCCGTTTGAAATACTTTTTTGTGAAGATTCAGAAGTTCTTGCTTTGCTTCCTGGAGAGCTTGATGAATTAATTGCTTCTGTTGTTGTTCAATTTTGAGCTGATCTATTTCCATGTTTAATTGTTTTATAGTTTCAGAGTTTTGTTTCAGCCTTTGATCTTGTTGTTTCGCTCGTTCAAATAATTGAGATCTATCTTTTATCGTCTGCATGATTGAAGATCTCAACAAATCGAGCTGTTCCCTTACCATATGATCGCTTTCTTCACATGCATTGATTTTCTCTCGGATTTCAAATGCGCTGAACAAGGCCTCTTTAGATAACCTCTGTTCTTCATCCATTCTTCTTCGAACAAAATCCAAATCGGTGACCATCACAATCAAGTCATACTCACAATGCTTCAAGACATCATTCAAATCTGGACCATAGGTGTCAGTCGAACACAGTAACTCCATATCAACAATGCAAACCAAGGAATTTCGACAATCTTATGTTCATCCCCTGAACGGCATCATTCAGTTTGTCATTGTCTCGTTGCTTCACGGCAAGTTCATTCTGAGCAGATTCAAGCTGCCTCTTTAGATCTGAAACAGTCTCTTCGGCCTGCTTTAGTCGATCAGATAAAGACACGTTGCTGTGTAAGACTTCTGAGAAGTCTTGTACAAAATTGGGAAAATCGCCCTCTACCTTGGTCAGCAAGTGATGATGTTGCTCAAGTTCAATTTTCAAACACTCGAAACTCATCATCAGGTCTTTGTGTTGATCTTCGACAGCGGTGAGGCGATCAACCTCCCTTTGTAGCTCATTTGCTTTTTGCTTGTTTTCTTTCTGTTGCTTTTTGGTGTTTTGAAGTTCCAATTTCAACATTCTCGAATTCTGCTGGTATTCTTGTTGCAGAGCTTCCATGCTAAGCTTGAGCTAGACCAGAACAGAATTCAGAAAAGAAATACAATTCAAGTCTTCAGAGTAACCTCCTCAGCAGATTTCAGAGGACCCACATAATACCGAAGATCTTCTATTTGTTTGTTAAGTTCTTGTACAGCAGACATAGATTGTTCCTTAAACGTACAATTCACACAGAATCAAGCATTGACGAAGATCCTTACCTGCAGCAAAGCAACATTGCTCGCGATAGTATCATCATGCTCCTGATCAGCCAAGACCATCTTCGTCCATAGATCTATTGATTTGTTGATTGTATCAGAGAGCAATTTGTCATCCCTTTGGCGGGCACGATTCTTGCAAGTTGTAAACAGTTCAAACAGAGCATGTCGATCAGCAATCACTCTGGTTGCAACGCGTGATAGTTTCACAGTCGATATCATGCCACCAGGCTTTTGAACTTCGATAAATACCTCGCTTCCCGGCTGATCTGACCCGACAAGTTCCGATGCTACGTTGTCAGAGTTCACGGCCTTGTCGTCTACTTTAACTATTTTATCCCCTCTGCTCAACTTCTGGGAATTGTATGCAGGTCCACCGACTACTAAGTTTTCAATGATGCAGCCAGTCAACATAATCCCTACAGTCGACCTTGTCTTGAAATTGGATGAAAACATCTCCGTCTCTGTATCAAGAACTGATCTGCCAAGAATGCTACTTAGCCTAGAGCATTGGTCCTGGATAGTAGCCAGGGAGTTCTCGAATTCTTCGGAGCAAGCAACAGCCTTCATTGCAGGATTAGTGGGATTCTCTGTCGCAGGTGACTTGAACTCTTCTCGGGCAGTCTTGGTGTCAGAGTCTTGCTCGGTCGGATTTAGCCGATAGGCATCACTACCGAACCCTGACATCTTTCCACTGAAGGAGACAGCCCCGTCAGCAGGTCTGCAAAAATGATCGGTGAAAATAAGAACAAGGACGAAAGTAGAGCCCAACAGCTGCTACGTGATATGCCCTCGGACAAACCCCATCACATCATACTACCCTCGTCGACTCCACCTGTCCACTGCTTTTCTCCCCTCTCCAGGTCTCCACGTCTCTTGTCTTCACTCTGCCCCCGTCCGCTCATCTGCACGTTTTCTCTCTACATAACTCAGCTCTCTATTCTTCTCACTCTCTCAACTTGGTCCTCCTCTCCTTGGATTTGCTGTGCCTCGTCTTCAGTGTCCGCATGCAGGCCCTTTCAATCACCGCTAGTTCCTATACTTCTGAGATAGAACAACCTCTGCTCCATTCTCCCTAGACATGATCTCCTCTGCTCCTAGTCTTTCCTTCCTCCCGTCCTCCGCCTCCGTATCCATCCACACTCCTCCTCTCCTCATTCATTGGAACGGATTCTGCCATTGGCATACATACACCCCTTCTTCTGTCGTATATCGCTTGTACCCCTACCCCTTCATTTCGGGAGAGCGCTCGTACCCCCTACCCCTATTTTGTCACACATATACCCCTACCAGTAAGACTTTGTTGGACAGCATGACCCTACCCTCTGTTGGACGTGAGTCCGCTCATCGAGTTGCGGGCCGACTTGAAAAAAAGAAATAAAAAAATTCTTTTACACAGGGCAGAAAACATACATCGGGGCTTCGGAAGACGGAAGAGGAACAGCACGGGTGAAGGCGGAAGAAGAACAGCTGACGGCGAGGAGGAGCGACGATGAATTGATCATACTGCAATGAACTCAGATTCGAAGTGATAGGCTCATCGTGGTACCCTCCTTTAACATCAGCAGCGATGATTTTTTTCATCCCCGTGACAGACTGAAAACCAATAAAACCTCAAAATCCAAACTTGCACTGCGCCCGGATATTGTCTCTAAACACTGAAATACTATCTAGCTCATGGTACGTCTACATGTTATGAGCTGAATTTCCTTCTCAGACTCCTCCTCCTCCCAGGTATCGCTCACATCTACATCCCTATTCATGGTTTGCATCGCCTCAACATGGCCAACTTGCTGCTCACACCGCGATGGCATATCATTCATCTCATCCAGCCATACCAGAGATTACTCCAAGGTGGTGAAGATCTGTATGCATGGCACTCTCTCTGCCTTCACCGCCAGAAACAACCATGGCGTGGCGTCGTGGCCTCAGGCAACACAAAAGCTGTTTCGTGAGATGCTCGTGCTCATTCTCCTGCAGGAAACTGCTTCTGCCAAGCTCAACAGGCTTCATACAGCCTTGCTGCAAGAATGACAAGGAAAGGTTGATGGAGATGAACACGAGTCCCTTGCTGCAAGAATGACAAGGAAAGGTTGATGGAGATGAACACGAGTCGACACTCATCACCAGACTCTGATTCCCTCCTGCGAGCCAACAGCGACAGCCTTGAGCTCTTCACGTCGGTAGGGGGGAGTAAGCAAGTGAGAGGGCTTCGAACGAGAGAAGCTAGACGAGGAGGAGACATCGTTGCTCTTGTTCCCCTCTCAGACACTCTCAGAGTCGGGTTCCAGCTCCATGAGAGCTATCCTTGGTACGCTGAGATGGCTGCCAAGGTCATGAGAGCAGCAGGGAGATAGATAGGGCTGGGGGTCCGCATGCCAGTCGGCTGTTCGCAACATCTAATGACATTCCTGGGGAGAAGAGCGCTCTCCTTCGAAGTTACATCGCAGAGCTGTTGGCGAGCGTCGTCATCGACCCGTCTCTGCCGGATAAGCTTGCCGACACGGCTCAGCATGGCGCTTCCTTCCAACAAAGTCTTGGTCTAGTAGCGGGAGACAAGGCAGTCTGCAAACTGAGGGGACACGCTGCCATGATCAACGACCTGGCCCGGAGGATCGTTCGAAGGGAGGGGTTCAGCAAGAATGCTCCTCACGTGATGGATGTGCTTGAATTGCCTTGGTCGCGCGTTCATCGGGCCTCATGGAGCCGTTTGCCTCATCGCTGTCCTCGACTACGCCAACCACCCTCCACGCCCTGACATGACGAACATGCGAGTTGAATTTCTTGATCGCAAGTCTTTCAGGACGCTGCAAGGTGAAGGAAGTATGCGAGCGCACGGTTGATCTCTACTTTGGTTAAGGTTTGCCAGGGAGATGGAGGGTGATACGAGACGATGCTAAAGAAAACTACGGTAAGAGAAAAAAGACTTGATTCACGACTGAAGAACAAGGAGGAGGAGGAGGAGTGGAAGAGGAAGTGGGTGGAGGAATGGGACGAACCCCTCCCTTCCAACGCCTTTTCTTCCCGACTCTCTTAACCCCTTCCCCCCACCGTCCGTCAAGTCATTGGCAGCGTAGCTCAATAACGGAGCTTGTCATGGTCGAGTTCTGGTTGGTGAACTTCAACTTGCGGTTGGAGATAACTTGTCACTAACTTGAGATGAGGGGGGAGGCAAGTGGAGGGAGTGGAAGGACGTTCCATCTGATTGATTCCTGACACTGAGACCTTATCATCATATCGCATACACGTCTATCGCATCGTCTCAGTCTACTCTTTTCCTTCTTTTCTTCCTTTGCCTCCTCTCAATGACCAAATCGCCGAGTCCTCGAGAGATAATCGTCCAGTGCGCCGATGAGGGCCCCTGTCAGCAGGCTCTCAGTTCCGCCCGCGTCATTGGAAGGAAGAGAGTGTACATTCATCGAACTCCGGCCATGGTAGAGGCGAGAAGTAAAGCTCTGAGTAGGCGGCCTGGGAAGAGTAAGCAGACCGATCAAGACACGACGACACGTTTCTTGCAACCTGCCACAGCATGAAGTTTGAGATGCGCTGCTCGCCGCTCGTGCGTATCATGAGGTCCGGATCTAACGAGAGCAGTTGAGCGAAGACAGGCATAACAGGCAGGAGAGGAAGGAGAGAAAGAGAGGGGGACAGGGCAAAGATCAGCAGACTAGAGGAGAGGAAAAGAGGAGAGGGGAAGGCAAAGAGCGAATCTCAGCACCTGGAATGTCTGGCGTATAAAGATGTTGCTTCATACTCGACTCGTCGATCGATTCAAGAGCGATCGAGCCATCAGCATAATCTTTCGCCAGTTTTTTGACTGCAGCAAGGGGGGGAGCACGAGCTTTCAGTGCTACAAGTATCCGGAGAGAGCTGCAAAGGACCTGCTTGTAGCAATTCCTGCCTCCCGCCATATCCGATGCAGATAGTTAACGTGCCCCCTTCTCCTCCTCTCTCCGTAAATCTCTGCAAAGCACCTCCTTCTCAGCCCAACCATCGTCAGCTCCGTAAGGTCTACCTCTGCTTCCTCCGCTGCCCGTCGCAGGCGAGAGGGCAAACTCTCCAACGCGCCCACAACCCGCACCTTGATCTTCTTGTCCGCGATCTCCCTGTCTCTTGATATCTACGGAAGCCACTTACCAACCATCAGCAGCAGCACCCATCCTCTTCACCTGCTCCAACCCCAATGCCATCAGGTTGAGCAGCTGAAGTCCGAGTCAGAGGAAGCACGCTCGTTCTCTGAGCTACAAACCTCTTCAACCTCCCATTGAGCTCGCCCCTGCAAGTTTTCCATTGACAGCGCAAATACTGTAAACAATCAGCAAGGCAGGCAGGCAGATAGGAAGGAACGAAGGACAGCAGGCAGGCAGGAAGGCAGGCAAGCCAATCCTTCAGGCCATGATATCATTCGATCATTTGATCTTCTCTTACCTGTCAAGTACTGGATACCAAGTTCACCCAGCACCCAACGGATGACCTATTGATGTGCAGGTCTGTAAGAAGAGAAGAACATTCCAGTACGGCCGATATTCACTCACTTGCTCCAGACGCTCCTTCCCTTTCAGGTGGCCAAAACTATAGGGATGGAGGTTAGACATTGATCCATGTCGGCAAGGTAGACCTGCTCGGCTTCCCCAAGGCTTTTGCGTATCTTCGATTCCCATCCATGATGATCGCAATATGTCTAGGGAGACCTCCTGCCTCCTTTCGCTGTCTCATGACCTCGTGGTAGCTCTGACCGTTTTGATCTTCTTGTATAACTTTTTGCTGATCAAATATTTGCATTCCCCATCGAAGATGTCGTGTGCTTACTTTCCTATCCTGGATCGTGTTTTGATGGGTGAAACTTGGTCTCAACAAACCATGGAGAGGAGCAGTTGGGAAAAAGCCATGGCTTTTCCTCAGGAAGGCAGCAAGCAGAAATAAGACGACGAGAAAACTTCGATTGAAGATCATCGCACAAAGTCAATGAGAGTGAGTGAGTGGCCAATTATCCGTGAAACTTTCTCCTTATCCTCATCGCTTGTTGGCTCCTGTTTCTCAGATCCATTAGCCGTCAACAGGTCAGGGGATGCAAAAAGGTACTCATTACCGGCCAGGTACATTGACGCATTCAACGATCTTGTTCTTGGACTTTCACAGACTCTCTCATCTTGACCCATCACTATGATCGCACGTTTTCTCTTCCCTCACTGAAGTTACCGCCTCATCCTCTACTTGTTCCTTCTCGCACCAGATGCCTCAGGTTCGCCACTCTCTATCCTCACCTGGCATTCCAGTCGCTTCCTTGCACTTTAGCTCTCATGAATTCCTCCTCTCTCTCCTGCTTTCCTTGCTCTCCATGTCGTCGCAACCGTTCCAAAACGTGGCCCCCGGACCATTGCGACCTTCAGTCGACTAGTGTGCCAGGAAAGTTGGGTGACCATATTCCAAACAAAATCGTGTTCCAAAGCAGCCGGATGACCGGAGGTAAGCGGCGGCCCGAGCAGATTAACGGCTTTGGTAAGTTTTTTTGTCGGGTTCCTTTTATTCTTCAGCTTTTCAAAAACTTTATCAAAAGTTCAAAAATACAGTCAAAATTTGATGCATATAGCAACAAAACTACATTTTAACAGACTTCATTGGAAACTAATCTGCGCAGCACTGGCACGGTGGAAGTTCTCATTCCATCAGCCGACCATGAGGAGAGTCAGTCATGGGAACAGAAGGAGCGACGGACAATGAGAGAGAGAAGGTGAAGTTAAACAAAGAAGAAGGATATCTCGAACAAGCTCATTCCAAGACAAACCGACCGTACAGCACCAGACCGACCGTGATTGTTGTTCTTTCGGAGATGTTTGCTTGTAGTGAATAGCCAACCGTCCATTCATGAGCTCTTTTCGAAGCTTCTCGAGGACAGCTCCTGCTGAGTCTGCAGCTGCGAGCAGAAGTCACTCGGTGATCCTGTCTCGTTCCCTGTTGCAAGTGACTGACACGTCTCGGCAGAACCGAACAAGCTTTCTCCCCAAGATTGAAACCACAAACAGGTCTCTACCGGCTTTTCCCCTTGAGTCAGCAGCTCAGCCTTCTTGCAGACCCTCAAGCTTTGGCGACGAACGAAAGAAAAGGAGGAGAAACCCGCAAGGTGACTGGAACATGCCTCCATGCGGCATCTAAGGCTTGGAGCAGCATACAAGACGAGAGATGTGGATGTCAAGCCGGATTGGGTTGCTGCTCCGTCGGATGAGCTGTGAGATGCTGGAATAAGATACTTTGCAGCATCTCATGCGATCCATGCAGGAACGACATCGCAATACTGGAGGAGAAATTCAGAACACTTCATGCAAGGTGCTGATCGTTGAACAACCTTGACGGTGAAGTAATGAATGTCTGTAGGGAATCAAACGCTCTTGAAAGAAGGCTGAACAAGTACTTTTCGCAACATAAGACTCTCGTCTCGCGTCAAGCAAAGTCCACGCCGCTTGTGGTATCTCCGACTACTCCTCTCCTTGATGGCCTCTACTGAACAAAAACTTGTCCAGGTGTGTGTCTTGGACAAGTTTGCGTCAAGCGGGGGTTTGCTTCGAACGACGTCAGGGCAGGTAGCAGCATTGTCATGCAACCAATGGGACGGCTGACAGAAACGCAGGAGGTCTCGTTTGCGCTGCAAGTCAAGTATTCCTTCGCGGGACACTTGGGTCTGCTCGCTCGCTATTGAGGCGAAATGTTGACAAGATGAAAAGGTGAAGGCGGAGAAGATCTGAGAAGCTGGGTGGACTCAAATGGAGGCTTCTCGTGCATCCTTGTTGGTCCCACAACCATCGCTGCTGATGTCGTGTACAAAGGTAGAGCAAGAGAGCAAGTTGACTTGAAGCTGATCTTCATTGAAAGGGTCCGGCACCTACTTCTTCTTCTACACGCCTATCCTTGCGGGTGAGACTTGAAACATGCACAATGCTCTCTCTGGTAAGAATGAAGTACCCAACAACAGGAAAATATCTTGTCTCTGTGCGTTTAGGATCAGGAGACGTCCCGGGAAGTCCGTTTGAGTCAGTCGTCGAACCAGGAAAAACAGAAACAACCTCCTGCACCGGTTACGATGATGCTGTTGTCGTGTGATTGTGCTGGGACCTGACACAACTGACAGCATCGGGTATGGGTTTGTTGTGCTCCGAAGCTGGAGTGGAATCTCAGGTCACAAAATCTGATGATATCACAGCGATGTCTCACCCTCACTTGCAGTTTGTGATCACCTCAAGGGACAAGCATGGGAACCAAAGATTTGAGGGCGGAGACAGATATGACGTCACTTTGTCAGGACCTGTCACGTTCAACGCTCACGTGACGGATCTGAACAACGGGCAGTACATCGCCAAGTACAACACAATCATGTGCGGCGATTACTACGTGATGATCAAACGAGAAGGCCAGCGCTTGGCCGGGTGTCCATTCGTCCTGTCTGTGGTCGCTGGTAAGACGCATGGGCCCAGCTGCACGGCAGTGGGAGAAGGCTTGAAGGTCGCGTTTGCGGGGGAGGATGCACAGTTTGTGATCGAGGCAAGAGATATCATAGGGAACCAGAGGGTGGTGGGGAACGATCCGTTCGAGGTCGAGATCGAAGGTCCTTCCACCCCTCAGATCTCAGTCTACGACCGAGACGATGGCACTTACCTCGTCACTTACAACGTGGAGGCCGTCGGGCAGTACCACACGAGAGTCTTCCTGGGAGAGCTTCAGATCTCCGGCTCCCCCTTCACGCAGACGGTGTTGCCAGGCAAGGTTGTCGCCGTCCGGTGCACGGGGGCAGGCAGGGGGTTGACGAGAGCGTTTGCTGGGGAGGAAGCCTCTTTCACCATAGAGAGCAGAGACATCAACAGGAATAAGACTTCCTCCGGAGCCAAAGAATTCCTTGTCACTGTCCGGGGTGTGATATCGCCCCAAGTGCACTGCATCGCTGGGGAGAACGGAGAGTTTCACTACTCATACCGGACTGCGCGAGCCGGAACGTACTTTGTGTCTGTGCTGTACGAAGGAGTGGACATAGGAGGCAGCCCCTTCAAGCTCACAGTCGACCCGGGCCCTACACATGCCAACGGCTGCAGCGCGGCAGGCCCAGGCATCACAGGAGGATACACGGGGATCGAGACGAGCTTCATGATCCACGCGCGAGACTACTACGGCAACTCCCGGACGTCTGGAGGCGACATCTTCAATGTGGAGATAGGAGGAACAGCCTCGGCCAGGTCTCGCATCCGGGACAACGAGAACGGGACGTACACTGTGGCGTACACGCCAGAGATAGGAGGAGACTACTACATCTCGGTGAAGCACGGAGGCATCGACATCCAAGGAAGTCCCTTCACGGTCTCCTCAGACCCGATGCCGCGCGAAGCCTATTTGGAGATGTACAGGAGCATGGAGCCTGACTTCACCAGGAACTTACAAGCTCAGTTGCTCGACCAGAAATCGCCTGCCAAACCATCAAGAAAAGCTCCCAAGCAAGGAGGCAACGCAGACTACGAATGGAAGTTGGACATCAAACTGATCGGAGGAAAAGAGCTGCTTCCTAAAGACACAGTCTCTGCCGGGACTTATGGAACAGCTTTCATACACAGCTCGGACCCCTACGTGGTAATGAGCGTCGGGCCGCAGCAAGTGAAGAGCCAGACGATTCAGAAGAACCTCAACCCCGAGTGGAATGAAACCTTAACGCTCAAGTTCTCAGATCGGATGAACGATCTCAACGTGGAGGTGTTCGATGAGGATGTCAACGACGACGACGACCTCATCGGCAAGGCGAAGATCAGCCTGATGGACCTGGTGGAGGACAAGCCCAAGATGATCACTGCCAAGCTCAGAGACTTCGATTCCTCAGGCAAGGACAAGGGAATCGACTGCGGGACCATCCAAATGATCTTGACGTTACAACGAACATCCGGATATCTTGATGATCGTAGATTGCGTTGAGCTGGAAATCATCGGAGTTTTGGGATAAGGGGTGGCGATGTACTTTTTTTCGGTTACACTTGTATTCTTTTAACGTACAGTGCAATGAAACTGGCTACCGGGTATGGTTCAATCTTCGAGCATGAACTTCTGTAGCCTTCGCTAGGCTGGCTGTATTCGTCCTCCTAACAGACTATGAGATCCCTGGCATCAGACCTCCATCAAACTCATACCTTGTCGACCGAAGCTTGCTCTGCTGAAATTGTTTTGACAATGATTCCATGAATTCAAACTTCTTCCGCTGTGGTGATATGATAAGGTTGAGCTGTGCGCAAGGAATCAAGGCACCGATCTCCTAATTTTCGTCAAGTCGTCCTCTTCGTCATCTTGTGAAGCGTGATGTGCTTGTGTCTGCACAACAGTGATTACACGCCAGCTGATTGTCATCAACAGTACCCTCGATTCCTTCTTCAATGATTTGTTCAAATCCTTTCTTTGCATGACATCCTGATAATACAAATTCAGTCACCTGTCTGTCCCAATGACATACTTTGTACAGATTCTTCCCATGCATCTTGTGTTATTTCGTTGACCCAATACTTTTGATGGACATTTTCTTCCTTCTGCAGAAAAGAAAAGCAATCAGTTCAATGCCCAACAGGAGCACAGGCAGCACATGATACGGCTTCTCAGTGATCCCATCATAACCAGGACCATCCATGAGCGCATGTCTCAACTCTCTCAAATTCTAATCGACTCGTCAGCGATGTAGAAGTAAAAGAGTTACAGACCATCTCTTTGTTGCCTCCCATCTGTACCCCAAACAGCGACTTGAAGTCGACATTCATCTCATATTGTTTGACAACATTCTCTACACTGCAAGCAGTGTGAAACATTAGTAACACATCTGGACTTGTGAAACCCACCTTTCAGATGAAATGCTCTCAGCTTCGCTACCCATCAGCGTTCTCTGCAGAGGGTATCAGCGACACTCATGGGATCAGAGCATCATCACAAAGGCAGAGATGAGCTCTATTTCGTTGTTCTCTTGGTCCGCTTTGATCTTGAGGTATTCTATAGTCTTTGCAGGTGTCAACACGAGTCAAGGAGCAAGGTGCGGGTCTTAACCAAGCTCAAGAACTCTTGGAAATCAAAATACTTGGACGTCTTTCCATCGAACTCTTGCTCCAGGTTTTGAAGCAAGTCATGCAGAGCCCTGTCCTCTGAGTTCTTGTACCCCATCGTCTGCAAGGGACATCAGACTTGTATCGGCTCGATCCGCTCAAGCTCAAGACGCACTTGAAAGGCCCTTGTCAGATCTTCCAGGTCAATAGCGCCACATCGATCTTGATCGACTTCTGAAAAGGCAGCCTCGCATCTGTCGATGACTGTCTGCGGTATAACTCCCGCTATAGTCACCATGACCTGAAAGCATTCCCTTCAGCCTAGACGTTCGTATTCGAAAGACTGACGGGGGAGATAAGGTGCATTAGGATCGTATACATTCATGAGTTGAGATCGATATCAGCCTCCTTCAAAAGTCATTTGTATGTCTTGTGTCTCCTAAAAGTTGGGTACATTCTAGACTGCGTCTTGTCTTGCGATTCAGGACTCTCTGACTATCTTGAAAACTTTTCCAACTTGACGCTTCCACTTTCAAAATCTCCCACTCGTTCGACATAGCGCATTACCATGACATTCACTTAGAGCCCCTTGCTATGTTGGACTTCGAACTAATACTGACATTGAATTACCGTTCCCATTGGAAGAGCTCTTCTTCTATTGATTTTCTCCCGTCTTGCCTTCACCTTTTGCTCCTCTAGTGTTCCATCAAGAATTTCTGATCTTCTCCTCTGCTGTCAACCTCCTTCTCTCGCGCTCCTCCCGAGTCCCTCCCTCCCCCCAACAGTCTCATCCATTCTTGTAAGACCACCATCACTGGGCCCTGCGAACTTTCAATAACGCTTGGTAGGGCCAACCCCCTGGTATATCTACATGTTCTGATTTGTACCCCATACCACCCCCATTTTTCTCAATTACAATTGGGGTAGTGACTGTATTCATCCGACATCCACCCCATAAAGGATCGTTGGAAATCAACCTGTATCTCTGAAACGGGCTTGTAACGGCCGACTACAGGACCCCCTACCGTACCGACCCCCCTTCAAGTCCGTACCGTTGATGGATCATGGTACTACGGTAGGGTGGGTCATGGCAGGCAGGCAGAAAGTTTTAACACCTGCGGCTGCCGCCCAAAAAAGAAACTCGGGGGACAAGAGGCACTCGAACCCGGGCAGAGGCACTACCAACTCATTTACTCAACTTCTCAGTACTTTGAATGATTCATGATTAAAGTAGAATTAACCCCAGGCTTCCGTGCAGCGGCCCGCGGCCGAACCGTCACTACCGTACTGAACCGTCACTACCGTACTCCTCCGGGCAGCTGGCAGGGCAGTCCCGGCAGAGTCACGGTGCGGGCCACGGCAGTCCGGAGTCCGTACGGCAGCCTGACGGTGAGCCGGGGCCCGGCGGCTCCTGGCCCGGCTCCAGGCCCGGCTCGGAGTGACGGTGTATGTGTGGGGATGTGGATCAAATTGCGAAGAGGCAGACGGGATTCGGACATGGCAGACCTGAAGGGCGTTGTTGGAGGAGGAGGTGAGACAACGCTGATCCTAATGTCGAGTCCGATGATGAAGGAGGCGATGGGGATGGGGATGGGGATGGGGATGGGGATGGGGATGGGGATGGGGATGGGGATGGGGATGGGGATGGGGATGGGGATGGTCTAACAAACTCAGGATGGGGAAGAGGATGGGGAAGAGGATGGATACTGTCCAAGATGTTGATGATTTGACTTTGCATGTTGAAATTGGCGCGCTGAGAAGAATGGACCTTGGCGTTCGGTCTGACTTTTCACCCAGGGCTACTTGCTTCCCTCCTCCTCATAGCTGTTCTGTGTTACACAGCCACCAACAGAATCAGTCTCTTCAATGCAGATTACAGCCCGCTGCATCAAAACGTGGATGTTAAGGCCATTGGCGATACTGGTTGCCTCGGATCAAGCTGTAAACTATCAGACAAGGCAGCAGAGAAGGATCTGAGCAACTTCTTCTCCAAGTTTCTTGACCATGGAAGCCATGCGGGACGGGTGCAAGCGAGATCCGCAGTTCGGAACAAGCCTCTGAATGATGTGGCTGCTACCAACGACATGGCAAACTACTATGACAGTTTGTCTGGAACCGTTCGCAAGACTCCATCTGTGGTGTTGGCTGAGAGCAAGCAGCGACACAACGTGCAGATATCTTCTAACGAGGATCGCAAGCAGTTTGAGAGCTATTTCCATCAACTCTCACAGAAAGTGCAGAAGAAGCCGGAGGTGTTGGAGGCCGAGAAGGCTGCAGAGAACAAGGCGAAGCAGGACCTGCTTGCGTCTCTGAGAGAATCCAGGAAGTCAGCTGAGAAGATCAAGAAGGCTCATGATGAATCAAAGTACATCGCTCGAATGGACAAGGAGCTTGTTCGTGCAGATCAGCAAAGGCGGCATGCACACCCCACCGCACATGATACGCTCTCGCCAAAGGAGGCGAAGCCTTCGCAAGATTCGATGAAGGATGTTCATGCGACCGTGTTGTCTGCAACGGCTTCTCAGAATGACTGGGATCAATATTTCGATGCACTGAACAAGCAAGTTCACAAGTCACCAACTGTGCTGGCAGCTGAAAAGCATGATGCAGTGAGGGAAAAGCAACACGAGCTGAACACAAGATCTAACGATCTCAAGGCAACGAGTCTGCTGAAGCAATGGACCATGCAACAAGCAGTCCCTTCCAAGCATCTTTCCTCCTCTGAAGCAGAGAATTCAATGGAGTCCTACTACAAACGTTTGAACAGCGAGGTGAAGAAGCGCCCGAGTGTGAAGCGAGCAGAGACCAAGTCGATGCAAGATATTCAGAGAATGCGGGATATGATCCGGAAGAACAATGAGAAGTCGCAAAGATCCCGTCTCGCATGGGAACGACGAGAGGCTGTTCCAGGAGTACATCTCAGCACTGAAGAAGCGAAGAAACAGGGGAACAAATACTTCCAAAGTCTTAATATGATGGTTCACAAGACTCCCATGGTTGTACATGCTGAGCGGGAAGCGAAATTAGTGCATATGAAGAATGTTGAGGTATGTCGCAGACTTGGTGACTGCAGTGACTGATCTCCTCGGTTCAGGCTGAGGCGAGGGTGAGAAGAGAAGAACAAAGAATGGCCAAGGAATTGAAGAAACAAGTGGCTGTCCCGAGCATCCATCTGTCGGCAAGCGAGGCCAAGAAAGAGGCAGAGAATTACTTCGATTCGTTGAGCTCACAGGTGCACAAGACTGCTAAGGTAAGGAGCTGGACAAGCAGGAGGATAAGTGTAAGTTGGGCTTCAGGTGTTGGCAGCAGAGCAGATTGCTAAGCAGGAGGCCCAACAAGAGAAGGTAGTGCTTCGACCTTAGCTTTTATCAATGGTTTGACACTGGATCTGCTGTCCTTTCAGCAGAGCGGAGAATCGACAAGGTTTTGTCGTTTGGCATGTTGGCTGTTTTGCTGATCTTTGTGTTTGCTTTGTCTTTTTCACTCTGTCATTCTCTTTGATTGAGCAGCCGGGGTAATGAGAAACGAGCCAAGTTGCTATGTCTGTCCTTATTGTGTCACAGGGAACATGATGAAGGTGGCTGAGGAGGTGGTGGATAATACCCACCTTCCAAGCGAGACCGGCCAGCTGAAACTGAAATGGTGAGGAGGAGGAAGGAGTCTGTTTCACAGGTGTCATGCTGGAACAGGAAGGGAAGCGAGCCCGCGGGGAAGTTGTACCGGCAGCTCAGGAACAAAGTCCTGCAGGTAAATGATAGACCCCCCTGAACCCTTGGGTGATGCGATTGGTTTCAGGTGAAGGGGCGAGGAGAAGGCTCTCAGGGGCAGGTACCGTGAAGAAAGAGGGGGTTTGGGAGGGCTGACTAATGCCTTTGACAGGTTGATAGTGAATGGAGGTCGAAGAGACTGCCGTTGGAGAAAGAGTATGTCAGGGAATATGCATAATGTTAATACAGTTTCTTTGATTTTTAAACAACGAAAAGCATTTGTTGGATGAGCCAGTAGAAGATTTCATTGGTGTTGTTTGGTTGCAAACATATAGAACAGTCTCATCTCTGCAGGTATGAAGAGCAAGCTATCCTCCGCCCACTGGTAGAAAGATGTCACCGATGGTTGAACACACAACAGGCTGGGAGCGACATCACGCTCAGTCTGTCACCTCAGACTTCTGCTGCACGAAGCTTGTCCTGAACCCGTTCCTCTCCAACAAAGCTGGAAGCTTGTGAATGGCGAAGGACTTTGAAAGTGAGGAACCTTGGATGCGAGAGAGTCTGAACTGACGATCGCAAACTTCCAGGACGATCTTGGTTATCAAAGTCACCCACAGCCCTCCTCCCTCTCCTCTCACCTGTCTGATCTTCTTCCAGTCGTCGGCTTGCAGGCCCATCAGGACCTCAAGTTCGTCTCCCTCAACGTCCACCTGCCGCCCGTTGACATGCTCCTCATCGACCTCCTCACTACCCACCTTGAGCAGCTGTATCGTCTGGATCTCCTCCTGCCGGATGACCTCGGCGAGAGTCCGCACCTCACACGTCGCATGCTCTCCCTCCTGGCAAGGGCGTCACACCCTTGCCTCCCGCTCGTCCCTGCCCGCACCGCCGTCATGCCCATCAGCATCCGTTGCTCTCGGGATTCATCCAGGTGCCTGCTGGATTCTCCCGGAGCGTCGGGATAATAGACGAACTTCTCGGACTTGGTAGAGGAGGCTGAGGAATGTCAAGAACCTTGAACGACAAAACGACAAAACGACTTCAGACCTAGACCAAAACACCGCGGAAGCACTCCCCCCCTGCCGCTGACGTTCCTCTGCAGTACCTTGAAGATCCTCGGCTGAGGTCTGCGGTCAGTCTCGCTCTTTCTGCATGTCTCAGCATGCATGCTAACTCACTACAGGCTCGAAAGCGAAGATCCTGTCGTAGTGCGGTGAAGGCGAGGAGGATGGGGGTTTTAGTAGCTCGTGGCAAAAGATCGAGAAGAGCCCGATGTTCGCCCCCACATCCAACACGTCACCTGCTCCGCGAGAGAGGGTAATTCCCTCCTGCAGATAAGATCTCCGCAAGAAGATCTCGTCGTAGAGGAAGGTACACTCCTCCTCTGAAATGTGCTCTACTCTCAGACCATTCTCGTCCTCGCTGTAACCCACGATCTCGTCCTCAGCTACATGGTTCTTGCTCAGATCAGCCTCATCCTTGACCGAAACTTGATCCTCCTCCCTCCCCTCCTCCTCACGTTCGTTCTCTTCATTGTCACCCAGCGCAGACTTCTTTCTGACGTTCCTGAGATCTCTTTCCCCGCTGCTCGCACGCCTTTTCTCATGGGTGGAACTGGACATGGCCTAAGTCTCGAGGAGACATGTCAGTCCGACATGTCGGCCTGCTGTTGTTGTTGGTCAGCTCCCCTTCCTCCTCCCCTTCCCGCCCTCGCCGCTCTGCTCCGAGCATACATGATAGTTTCCTGGATCAATTGTTCTAGATTACTGAAATAGGCCAGGCACTAGTTCAGATTCTAGGACAGACTCTAGTTCTGTTTCTAGTCACTGTTCTAGTCATGTTCTAGTCACGTACAATTGGGTCAGGATGGGGACGGGGGGATCCAGAGGGATAGCTGCGATGCAGGTGCATAGAAATCATGCTGCTGCTCCTCCTCTTGCTGCTGCTGCTGCTGCTCGCCCTACTCTTCCTTCGCTTTCTACTCTTCCTACTCAGTTCTCTTCCTTCTCTTACTGCTCCTGCTGCTCTTGCTTCCCTTGACTCTCCCACCCACCTTCCTTGCCCCACTTCTATTCTCTTCTGAATCTGTCCATGCCTACTTCTCCATTATTCCTTTGCACTCCTGCTCCTTTTGAATCACCTCAAATCATTGCAAACTGTTATCAATTCTCCTTCCATTCACGCTGTCCTTGCTTCGTTCCCACCACCTTCCCGCTGATCTCCTCATTATTCCTTTTTCTGACTGCTGTTGATCTCAGCAGGGTCATCCAATATATCCGCCAGGGCCCGGTGGGCATATACCACACAATCAGGTGAGAAGGAGACAGATGTTATCTGCTCAAAGCAAGACATGACGCCTGTCATGCGTCTCGATGGCCTCCTCTACAATCCTTGCTCGTCCTCTGACAGCCTTCTTCCACCCAGCCTCCTCCTCAGCATCCCTATCCTCCGCCACAGGTATGTGTTAGGACGGCATGGCATTGGCGGCTGAGTGCTGGCGTAACTCACTTGAACAGGGCTTCTTTCAGCAGAACCCGCCTCCTTTCCATGTGACTGTCAGTGCCTTCCATCCGACACAACATGACACGTACTCAGATGCCGAACATGGGAGGAATGCCGCCTTTTCCTCCTCCTATCCCACCTCCTCAGGGGATGCCATTCATGCAGGCAACGACTCCTTCCTCCCTGTTCTAGGAGAGTGACCAGTGGCGAACAGGCTCCTCCTCCAGGCTTCGCTCCACCTCCTGGACCATGGCAGCCAGGTCCTCCTGCTCTCCGTCAGGTGCCATGAGGCGTGAGGAAGGAGATGGTGCTGACGTCAGGCAAGGGTGGAGCAGGGATGCAGGATGTTCCTGCCCAAGGGGAGAGCGCTCCTGTCAAAGGTTTGACCTCCTCGCCTCCCGCACGTGATGACGTCTATGCTCAGCCCCTATTGCTTTCCCTCCTCTTGACCCGGAGCTTCTTAGCACCATCGACAAGACCTCTGGGTGTGACGAGCGAGATTTCGAGCGACAGGAGTGGTGTGATGCTGTTCTTGCAGGTATGTTGCAAGGAACGGCAAGGCCTTCGAAGACATGATCCGAGAGCGCGAAGGTTCCCCTTGCTTCCTGCCTGTGAGTTGTCTTCATCTTGATCTTCTGACTGTCAGGCGCCAACCCCAAGTTCACCTTCTTGCGCGAGAAAGGGGAGGGATGCGAATATTTCCGATGGAGGGTGTACTGCCTGCAGATGAAGTTTGAGAAGGTTGTGCTGTGTTTGTGGCGGTGTTGGTCTGAGACGGACACAAGCATGAAATGGATGCCATGCTGCGAGAAGCTTTCCCTCCGCTGGGCGAGGTCAGGATGATGGCGGAAGGAAGAATCTTGTCCTCAAGTTTGTTCCAGGAGGACCTCAACACTTTCAAGGAGATGTTGACTTCGCTCACGGGATCCAAGGATCACATGTGATGGACGAGATGAGATGTGGTGCGCTGTGAAGGTGAAAGACTGACGAGATGGTTGCGTTGCCAGCCGATCGATGCGAGCATGGATTATGTCCCACGAGGAGAACGTAGAGTTCATCTGCGAGCATTTCCACGCGCGGATTATCAGCATTAAGGTAATGTTGTGCACTCCTGTTTCTCCCTCCCCGACATCTCACGTTGCTCCCACTCGTTCTTGCACCGCAGGAGTTCCAACCAAGGTTACACATCGGTGATTGATACTCTTTGGAGCTCTGGAGGGATAGATGACGTGGACGGCAGTATATGTCCTCAACGACGTGCTGCATGCCTGCCTCAAGAAGCGGATGGATCCATCGATCATCGGTGGGAGGGAGGAGCCGTTGTGTTCCTCTGCTCTCTAACCTCTTTCTCCTCCCTTCCCTCTCTTGTCCCTCCAACTTGAGCAGATGTGACTTCGGAGAGGATCTTTCGACACGTCCTCCGTCTCCTGCACCCGACGTTCCAGGTTAGGACCGAGGGCAGGGACCTTGCCTCGGCCTCTCCTGAGTTCCCGTCCTACGCAGGACGAACCTGATGCGGAGAACAGAGGGAAGATCTCGAAAGTTCTCGGGCTCTGGAGGGAGAGGAACATTTTCTCACCTCAGGTCCTTGCCTGCTCGCACATGATGCCCTCCTCCTCATCTCTCCTCCTCCTACAGCAAGTGCAGGAGATCGAGCAGGCGATGTCGGACAGAAACGCTATCATACCCTCACCGACGGTAGGATCAACCTTGCTCTCCTTTGCGCCTAGCGACTGCCTTCCTCCTTCTTTCCTCCTCTGTTCTCTCTCCCCCTCCCCGCTAATTTCTACGACGCCCTGAAATGCCGGTTCTTTCTCAGGTCGACCTGGATAGCTTGGGAAGCTTTCAATCAGCGATGAGCAGGAAGCAGGTTTATGATCCTTTCCCAGGCTGCTGCCTCCCCGCTGACTTTCTCCTCCTACTCTTTTTCTCTCCTCCTCTCCTGTTCTCCTGTGCTACTCCTTCACAGCCTCCAGCTCCGAACATGCCTCATCCTCTGCAAGCTGCCCCTCCTTCCCTCCCTCCTCCCCTGCCCGTCCCTCCTCAGCATCCCTCGGCGCAAAACTTTGTCATCCCTCCAACCCAGAATTTTCACCCTCCTATCGTCACAGCCCAGATGGTTCGCAGGAGGAGGATCTGCTGGAAGCCGAGGAACCGCGCGTTCCTCCTCAGCGCCTCCATCATCACCAGCGAGAAGACAGTGGACAAGATTGCAGTGAAGTGACTGCTCACGGACTCTAAGGAGGGGTGTATCCTGCCAGGCACAGTCACGAGCCCATGTCCGTCCTCCTCACCCGCCCCCTGTCACCTAGCGGGAATCTTGAGGTCCGCAATCGCAGCCCACGCAGGCTGGCAGATCGCCTTAGCTATCAGGCCGACTGATTTCATCACCCCAGTCTGCGGCAGGAGGAGGAGGAGGAGGAGGAGGAGGAGGAGGAGGAGGAGGCAACCGCCAGCAGCAGGGGAGGGAAACGGTCAGTCCCCTCGGGCAAAGCACGGCAAGAACTCACTTGCGCTGGCGTCAGTCCGACTGAGAGGAGCCAGAGAGTCGAGAACTTGTTCCAGGCCACCATGCTGGCGCCGCTCGAGAAGGAGAGGATCTTGGCAACCTTGAGCCTCCTGCTCACCTCGTGCCCTGAGTCCCGCTGAGCCTTTGACCTGCTGTGATTCATTCCGTTCATGTGCACATGCACGTCTTCAGCGCTGTCGCAGGACCGCAGGGTCAGCAGCATGCAGCGGGGAGGAGGAGGATCACCGGTGCGGCTGGTTCGAGGGAGACTCCGGGTTCTCAGGGAGTAACATCTCCACGGCAGGCGCATGTCGATGCGTGAAGGAGGTAGCGGAGGTCATACCTCAACAAGGGCTCTGCCTGGAATGCCTTGAACCCGCAGGCAGGAGGGGAGGATACCGATGTCACAACCACCACAGCACGAGGGTCATGGATAGAGTCCGAGCATATAACTATCCGTGGTCCCTAGAGCACGCCCTCCTCTTGTGCTCTCCTTGTTCGTGCCTCCAGTCGTCAGCGCATGACTCGGTCTCCTGCCTTCTAGTCTCCACTTCGCCCTGGGAGAAAACGGATCATGACAGGGGCGAGCACTAGTGTCATGATAAAACGTCTCTCCAGATATCGCCTTGCTCATTCTTCAACCTGAAAAATAGACTTGCACTTGAAAAACCAATCCCGACATAATTTCGTTCGACGGAGAATTTCTGTGTGCTCCTGCTCATCCTGACACACTACCTTTAATCTGGCATACTCCTGCTCTTGATCCCCACTCCTAGCCCTGATCCCGCTCCTGCTCCTGCCCTGCTCCTGATCCTGCTCCTGCTCCTGCTCCTGCTCCTGCTCCTGCTCCTGCTCCTGCTCCTGCCCTGCTCCTGTTCCTGCTCCTGTTCCTGCTCCTGCTCCTGCCCTGCTCCTGCTCCTGCTCATGCTCCCGCTCCCGCTCCTGCTCCTGCTCCTGCTCCTGCTCCTGCTCCTGCTCCTGCTCCTGCTCCTGCTCCTGCTCCTGCTCCTGCTCCTCGTTCCCTGCCACTTCCAACCATGACGAGGCACCATCATCAAAGCACCGATCCACGACCCCCATATTCCTACCCACCTACCCCATGTATTCCGACCCCACCCCTGGGTGTTCAATACACCTCCCCAGTTTGCAACCAAGTTCAAAATGCTAGGGTACTAATCAGACTATGATGTACCCGTCTCCAGAACAGAAAGAGACATGAAAAAGTACCGGTACTTCTCCACACCCCTATGTTTCCCCAGTACCCCATGTGACCACCTACCCTGCAGATTACCCGACCCCACCTCACAAACTGCTTGGTAGCCCGCATCCCCACACTTACAACTTGAAAAAACTAATAAGTGACCAGCTCGACGGGTGACCGTACTGAGACTCAGTCTCCCGTCGGAGTCCGATCGGGCCGGCCGGGCCGGCGGCCGGCCGCACTCCGTCCCGGACATAAGTCCTCTCGGAACGGAACTTCAACGGGCCTCGGGGGCCCCTGGCCCGGTCCGAACTTCGGCGAACGAAACTTGAAGGCACACTGGGCCGTCTGCCAAGTTTCCGACCTTTACTCAAAGTTAAGTTGAAGATCAGTACGAGGACAATCAGGAGAGACGAGGAGGCTTGACCCTGACATCAGTTTAGTCTACTTAGCTTTACTCAAAGTTAAGTCACTGAACATCAGTACGTCACTGCCAGTGCAGAAAGAAAAAGTCAAAACCACCCCTACCACCATCTTCACTGACAAGCACCCTTGAGAGAAAGAGGGGTGTCGAGCGTTGAAAATATGGCAGATGAAGTAAGAAAAACCTGCTGCTGCTGCTCCTTCTGCTCCTTCTGCTCCTTCTGCTCCTTCTGCTCCTTCTGCTTCTTCTGCTTCTTCTGCTTCTTCTGCTTCTTCTGCTCCTTCTGCTCCTTCTGCTCCTTCTGCTCCTGCTCCTGCTCCTCTTTGCCTGGAACCCTTCTGTGCTCGTTTCTCCTCTGTCTCTTCGTTGTCTCTGTCTCGGTTCCTTTTTCCTTATCTCTTCCTCTCCCTCCCTTGACAGTGACTTTCTCATGTTGTACGGTAGACGATAGACAGAAGCATTATCCACCCTTCGCTCACTAACCACTTCATCGAGACCTTCTCTGGAGGGGCAATGCACGGACGGTACCGATGATTTCTTTCTGCTCCAGCTCCAGCTGACTTCCAGCTCCCTCCCTCTCCACTTCTCTTGCTCTTCCTGCTCGCTCTCCTCCCCTCCTGACGATTTCTTATCACGTGGAACCAGTCCACACATCACGGGCTACACGGGCTACTGCCCGTCCATCAACATCACCGGAGATGTCCCGGGACAGGAAGGCACCTTATGCTTTCACTGCAAGGTCCTTACCCTCCCCACAGGTCACTCTCCCCGTCTCCCGCGTGGGCCAGCGGCTCCGCCCTGGCGACAATCCGGTGAAGCTGGGGATGGACAAGATCCGAGGTAGGAGGAAGAGCGAGAGAGGAGGAAGCGGTAGTGAGAGGGGGTGCTACAGCGTTCAGGAGCATCCCTGGCTACGCAGGGCATGTCCCGTCGTCGGAGTCCTACCTCAGCAAGGGAGTAAGGAAGAACGGGCTGGACATACCCCGAGCTCTTCGCTCCTTGCTAGATGAAGGAGTGGAGGAAGCCAAGTTGATGACAGTGCTCGACAAGAACGGGACGGGGTGGCTGGACAAAGACAAGGTGACCTGGAGGTTGTGAGGGGCAAGGAGGAGGAGAGGAGAGGAGAGGAGAGGAGAGGAGAGGAGAGGAGAGGAGAGGAGAGGAGAGGAGGATGTCAGAGATTCGTCATTGTAGCACATGTGTCAAGGACACAAGAGGACGAGGAGTCATCCGACCTCACTCTTGTTCTCTCCCTCTCCCTCCTCTTTCATTTCAGGTGCTTGCCGGCATGATGGAGCTCGGGTTCACCAGAGTCCGGCACGAGGATGTGGAAGCGCTGTTTGAGGAGAACACGATGCTGGTGAGGAGCTGGGGGAGAGCAGGAGACTGGAGATGCTGACGTCCGTGCTACCAGGTGGGGCAGAATGATCAGATATCCATGTCGCGATTGATGTCTCTTGTGAACGCGATCCCGTCTCCGAGCAATGCTGCGGTAGGAGGGAACGAGGATGTTGGAGGGGGAGGCGGGGGGTGAGAGGAGAGAAGGAGCAGGTTGATCCGACGAGAGGAGGAGAAGGGAGGACAGGATGGAGATGAGCGTTGGGAGGAGGAGGAGGGAGGGGGGCGGGAGGGGGGCGAGGAGTTTGATCTTGATGGTACTTTGCCGCAGGCTTCTCTTGAGCTTTCTGCTACTGGATCAAGAGAGTCCTCGCAGTTCAACATGTTCACTCGAAGTTGTTCCGTACCCCCTCCCTGCTGTCCTGCTGTCCTTCTGTCCTGCTCCCTCTCTGCTCCTCTTCGCGTGCACCTTATGTGCTCCTCCTGCTATCCCTCGCTCTTCGTTGGCTCTGACCCCTTCCTTTCCTCTCCTTCCTCTACCTGAATCCCGTCCTCGTCCTCGTCCTCGTCCTCGTCCTCGTCCTCGTCCTCGTCCTCGTCCTCGTCCTCGTCCTCGTCCTCGTCCTCGTCCTCGTCCTCGTCCTCGTCCTCGTCCTCGTCCTCGTCCTCGTCCTTGTCCTTGTCCTCGTCCTTGTCCTTGTCCTTGTCCTTGTCCTCGTCCTCGTCCTCGTTCTCTTTGTCCTTTTTCGTTCCATACGCGGCAGCTCAAGATCTGTTCGCAACTCATGAAAAGTGCAGAACCAAGCTCGGATGCTGACCACTCAACTCGAGTTGGATACATATCCCCCTACGAGCCAAAGAAAGCTCAGGTTTTCTCCTCCTCCTCCTCTTCCTCTTCGTCCTTGTCCTCCTCCTCCTCTTCCTCTTCGTCCTTGTCCTCCTTGTCCTCCCCTTCCTCGGCCGGTCAAAATTATCGTCATGTTGATGGTCACCATTATCCCCCTCATTTTTATCTCATCTCATCTCATCTCATCTCATCTCATCTCATCTCATCTCATCTCATCTCATCTCATCTCGTCTCATCTCATCTCAGTTTCGCTTCTCAGGGCTACAGGTTTCCTCTTCGCAATGACTTCATCAACCTCCAAGTGCGTTGCCCCTCCTCGTCTTCCCTGATTGACTCTGAGCCAAAGGCTTCAAACTTCTTCGGCATAGGAAAGATTCCAGGGTACGAGGAGGAGGAGGGGGAGAAAACGGAGGAGGAGGAGGAGGAGGAGGAGGAGAAAACGGAGGAGGAGGAGGAGGAGGAGGAGGAGGAGGAGGAGGAGGAGGAGGAGGAAGAGATAGTGGTGGTGGTGGAGGAGGGGCAAGAGCAGCAGCATCTTTCTTTCTCAAACCTTCCTTTCCAGGTACTCCGGTCATATACCACTAGTTCGTCCGTACAACAAAGACATCGGAAGCTTCGCAGTTGGAAGGTCAGCCGTTGTGCTCCTGCTCCTGCTCCTCCTCCTGCTCCTCCTCCTGCTCCTCCTCCTCATGAACCAACCTCTTTCTTACACCCCATTTCAACTGCAACTGCTCTCCCCTGGGCTCCATTCATTCCCCTTAAATCTCTTCCAGGACTTTCGCCGAGCAGTCGCGAGTCAGTCAGATAGCAGCAAACATCATCATCGACAACACTTCGCCGAGTCACAGAATCAAGGCAACTCTCCTGCTCCTGCTCCTGCTCCTGCTCCTGCTCCTGCTCCTGCTCCTGCTCCTGCTCCTGCTCCTGATCCTGCTCCTGCTCCTGCTCCTGCTCCTGATCCTGATCCTGATCCTGCTCCTGCTCCTGCTCCTGCTCCTGCTCCTGCTCCTGCTCCTGCTCCTGCTCCTGCTCCTGCTCCTGCTCCTTCTCCTCGTTGCCCTCATCTGCTCTTTCTCTGTCTTCCTGTCGTACTTTGCTGTGTACTGTCTCCTTTTCTCCTCTCTCTTCTCTGTTTGGCTTCTTCTATCTCTATTTCTCTTCTCTTCTCGCCGCTCTCTCCTTGCCCACTTACTTTGTTTGAGCCACTATTTCAACATGGGCTGAGTTGATCGCATATCACCACTCATCTACTCTACTCTACTCTTGTCTTGTCTTGTGATTTGCCGCAATCTAACATGTTTTGGTTGAACAGAAGGAGAGGACGATAGCTGGAATGATGGCTGAACCTGCAAGGCTGAGGTGAAGAGAATGGAGAGACATAGGACTGAGGGGAGGGGAGGGGAGGGGAGGAGAGGAATAGGAGAGGAGAGGAGAGGAGAGGAGAGGAGAGGAGAGGCGAGGCGAGGCGAGGGGAGGCGAGGGGATGGGATGGGATGGGAGGGGAGGGGAGGTAACATGGTCATAATGCTGACGGCCCAACAGCATCTCGAGGGAGAAGAAGATTCAAAAAGAAACCAACGTCGCAGATTTCAGGTGCGAGGGAGTAGCAGCGGCCCGACGTTGACGTGTCGTTGCAGCCGCTCTGGCGCAATTTCAGCTCCTCCCTGAGTCAAGTAGCGGATGTGTGAAGAGCGGAGTAAGAGGAGAGGAGAGGAGAGGAGAGGAGAGGAGAAGGTAGCTGAGAGGAAGAGACGAGAGCGAATAACTTATAACATCTTTACTTGATGAAATTAGTTCTTCTTCCTTGACGATCTCGTTTGCTGTTGCAACATGTCAAGGTGAGGAGAAGAAAGTTGCCCGATCTCACCATCCTCCTGCTCGATCGCCTGTCCTCCTCGATCTCCATATCCTCCTCCTCCTCCTCCTCCTCCTCCAAGTCCAGGTCAGTAGCAGAACAAGTCATCATCAAACAATCCTCACCGACGAGATCTCCTTTCGCTTCTGCATCCTGACGTCTTGCTGGAAGTTTCACAATATGGCACATCTGCATCGGCAAGGCACCTCTCATCAAGTTCTTCCGTGCTGGTGTTCGCTTCGACCTCGACGAGCTGCGTCCTTGAGTTCCCTTGCATTCCATCAGCCCCGCACACGCTCCTGCTCCTGCTCCTCCTCTCACCTTCCTCTTCGACGATCGTGCAGGTGTGGTCTTGACCTCCTCATCCTCCTCCTCCATCGCCTCCTCCTCCTCATCTACCACCATCTTGTCTGCAGATGAATGCAATCTGATCGCCTCCACCAGCTCCTCGTCTTCCATCGTGAGATCCGCAGGCCTTTGTCACAATCACCATAATTCTCCTCCTCCTCCTCCTCCTCCTCCTCCTCCTTCTCATCATTGTGACTTGCTCCTTCCCCTGCCTTTCCTCCCGCTCAAATATCAACAACTCACGTCACGTCTCCGGTGATCTCCCTGTAGCCTCCATCAAAGAACCGAGCATCCCCCCCGAACGCCTGCCCTCAGGTCAGCAGCGCCAGCCCCACCCCCTCCCCTGCTCCACCTTCTTCCACCTCTCCAGCTTCCCCTCAAACTTCTCCCCGTAGCGAATCTGCCAGGTCCCATCCTCACCCCAGCAGGAGGCAACTTTACCCACCTGATCCTTGAGCCGTCGATCCGAAGCCTTGCAGCAGACGGTGATCCTCACTCTCTCCCTCCTCTCCGACCCGATGTGAACCTCCTCCTCCTTCGGAGCCCCTGCCAGCAGCAGCACCGTTGAGCTCCCAGCAGCAGCCTCTCCCCTCTTGTACCTTCCAGCAGCTTCTCCACCTGCGTCTTGCGACGCTTCACATCTGCTTGAGGGTTTCACAACGGCAGCAGCTGGAAATGAGCTGGCTGCCACCTGCTGCCAACGACTCGCCGCCGTCCCTGACGATCTCTCCGGCCGAGTTGCGATGCTTCCTAGTCGGCGAGGAGCAGATGGCTCGGATCATCTCAGGGTTCTGCGGGGGAAGGAGTTGGAGATGGCAGAGGGAAACGACAGATGGGAGAGGAGGAGGGAAAGTAGGAGGACGATGGAGGAGGAGAGGGGGTGGGGGAGAGGGAGCAGGGAGCAGGGAGAGAGGAGGGAGGGAGGAGAGGGGAGAACGGGGCACAGAGATCCTACTTGTTCTGCAGCAGCGTTGTAGAGCATCTGGATCAGAACATCTTTCTTCAAGGACTTGTAGAGACTCTCTTCGGACCTGTTTGATGACGTCATCAGATTTTGTCGGAGGCTGATCGGGAGTCCTCACTTGTGGTTCTTCTGCGGGCTGAGGAAGATATTGTGCTGATCTGCCAACTAACATACAGGGAGGAGGAGGAGGAGGAGGAGGAGGAGGAGGAGGAGGAGGAGGAGGAGGAGGAGGAGGAGGAGGAGGAGGAGAGAGAAGGGAGGAGAAGAATACTCATAAGCAACTAGTCAGCTCGAGCAGGCAGTGCATGGAGTACATGTCGCATGTTGACTTTGGTGTAGCGGGAAAGCTCCTGACAAACAAGAGCAATCAAAGAAAGTTCTCATTCCTCCTCTCTTCTCATTGCCATCCTCTTGCATCAACACTCGCATCCAGTGACCAACATGTTTCACGGCGTTCTCAACGAAGTGATCGGAGAACTTCGGGGAGCCTGCCGACGACCTTCTCTTCTCTTGCTTTTCTTCCACCGCATCTTCCCCTCCCTTGTCTTTCCTCCTCTTTTCTCCTGTAACAGCTCACATCAGATCCATCATCACTTCAACTCCCCTCCCCATCCTCTTTCTCCTCCTCGACCACCATCTCGACCTCCTCCTCCTCCTCCTCCTCCTCCGGTGGTACCTTCTTCACTCCCTCTTCCTCTCATCATCGAGCGCGCAAATCCGCAGAGGACTAGCTCGGGGTGACTAGGACATCGGGAGCACAGGGCAAACAGACCGGCAAGGGCGACAAGGGGGATGGAGGCAGCGAACGAGATCGTGAGAACAAACTTTTCTGTGACGTACAGACCCTGGAGGAGAAGAGAGCGAGGTCAGCACGCCCTGCCTCTCTCAGCAGCATCGTCTGCTGTCGCCGGCTACCGGCCAGAAGAACTTGTCGACGACGTGCGACACTGGAATAGCGGAAGGTCAGCAGTCTCAGGGCAGACTTGCAGCCCTTACAGATGGTGGCCCAGGACGTGTAGTATGCGATCCTCCTTGCGTCATTGGCAGATGCCTGTCATCCCGTCAGGGGGAGGAGCGATGTCGAGTTGGTCGCCTCTGACCTCCAGCACAGCATCGAGCAGGTCGTCGAGGTGATCTCGCTTCTCATCCAGCAGTTCCTGAGCATCCCTCTCAGCCACAGAGCGTCTCCTGCCTCCTTGTCCTCCTTCACCCGCTTCGGGGGCTGCAGCTCCATCCCCAGCTTTCTCCGGTAGGCCTGCTCAGCGATCAGGTTCCTGTCCACCCACAGATGAGGCTTCAAGACCGTCAAGAGGGCATGGTCCGTGTCCGACCCCTTCATCATGGCCTGCCGTCAGTGAGCATCGGTTGACAGAGAAAGACAAGAGGCTACTGTGAGAACATTACTGGCTACTAGACTGAACATTTAGCTGTTGGACTGACATGACTAGCTGCTGGACTGACATGACTAGCTGCTGGGCTGACATGACTAGCTGTTGGACTGACATGACTAGCTGCTGGGCTGACATGACTAGCTGCTGGACTGACATGACTGCCTTCTGCACCATACACGACTAGCTACTTCGCTGCCATCACTAGCTGCTTGACTGAGGCCACTAGCTACTTGCAGGAGGCACCTGAATGACTGGTCCATTGATGAAGTCGACGTGCTGCAACACGAGGAAGATCAATCGCGCATCTCCCAGCCAAGTCCACTCACCGCCTGCTCCCCTGCAGTGTAGACCGAGCTGCGGGGCTTCCAGTGCTGGCGAAACTTCTTGTTGTACCGCGATCGCAGGACAGTGCAACCTTGCAGCGAGAGGGCAGATGTGAGCAACACAGACAAGCTCGTCTGACATGTCATGGAACCTGGCGTCTCGTACTGCACGTCTGAAAACATGTGCTCTTGACGTCTCGACGAAGACTTCTGATGTTGAGATGCACTTGTTCCAGGTTTGAACACGGCCAGAGCTGAGGGTTGTCAGGATCAGAGAAGATGGAAGTCAGCCTACCATGTTGGAAGGATTGCATGATAGAGGGCCGGTCATCCTGATCAGGGCAACGAGCAATCATGTCATGCAATCAACTACAGCAGACAGGTGGAGAGAGGTCAAGGAGCAAGGGAGGCTGTAGGAGGGAGAGGTAGAATGGGATGGGGGAGAGTTGCAGGTAGCAAGCACGTACAGGTATCGGATAACCACACAGCTTTCTGAAGTCCTGCCGTGCAATCCTCAGTGAAGAGAATTTCGCGCCCCTCCTGCTTACTTGCTTGATGACATCAAAGGGCTTGTCCCAGAGAGAGGTAGAAAGCAGTCTGAGGAGTTTCTGCAAATTGTCACCTACGCACAACAAGATACAAGATCAAACCTCGTCGTGCTGAACATCATTGTCGTCCACGACAAGGACGTACGCTCGAAGACATCTGTGACGAAGCAAATCAATTCAACCATCACAGGTTCAAATTATATCAGACAAGTAATTCGAAACAGAAAACACGGCAGACGAACAAGCAAACGGCAAGACAGACCAACAGGCAGCACATCTCCAGCGTGACCTTGAATCACAGTCTGCATGCCAGAAGTCCATGATCTGCTCGATGAGAGCGTCTTCTTCTACGAGCCTCGACTCCCTCACAACACACTGCAATGGCAGCTCAGTCTACATCTCGTGGGGTCACAACAAACATCACGTTGTCGCAGTTGAAGCGAAGCTGCTCTGTCCAGCGAAAGAAGTTCACTTGAACCTGCCCTGTTGTCAGCACTCACACGACGAACAGAGAATGTAAACCAAGCTGCGAGGAGTTGGAAGAAAAGCTCTCATGTATGCCTGCAAGGATCTTGTTGACACTCCTCCTACTCTCCTTTCCTCCTCCCCTTTCTCCCTCCCCCCCAGGCTTCCTCTTCCCCGCCATCACACCTGTACCATGGCGGACATCCGATTCCACTGCAACCAAGGTATCAGATGCTGAACATCAGAGCCGCTTCCCATCACATCACACAACATGACAGGCTACAACACAACATCCATCATCTGCAACTTGGACACAGCGTCACCTCGAAGTCCATCTCTCCGAACTTGTCCGTCATGCCCTATGAAGCTCTGTCAGGGTACTCCTCTTCGCCACCATTTGCTTACCAGCGACACCAGCTGGATAGTCCCCCTAGGCCCAGGAATGTTCAACACCCGGGGGGTTCGGAAGACACTAAGAGCAGCAAGTCAGGAAGCAGCGACAGGGCAGAGACCTCATGGCCGGAATGACACATCACCTCTTGAGCGCGACCTTGTGAGACTTCACAGAGTCGAAGGCTTCTTCGCTCCTGCGAATGCATCATCCCAGCCATTCCAAGAGCACCCCCTACCTGAATTGAAAGACCCAGGGCACGCTTTCGAGCGAACGGCAGCACGTCAGCTACAACGGGATCTGGCATGTGGAGCAAACCTGCACTCTGCCTCGTTGACCTGCTTGCCTCCGGCAATCTCACACAGCCATCTGTTGGCAGCCGTGACATCTGTTGCCGCAACAGCAAGCGTGTCATCATGGTCCTGCCAGGCCGTTAGCTCCATCGAGCCAACGGGAGCTCGATCTCACTTTCTTGATCATATCCCAGATCATCAGCGCAGCAGGAAGCGGAGCCCCAGCCTGTACGGGAGCGATGAGGACACCATGGAGCTCCACAGCACAGGGACAACGGCACCTCTGTAGCTGAGAAAAGTTTGACCTCCTGACCTCCTTTGTGCGGAGATTCGGTGTTTGCAGATTTCTCCCACACGCCGTCGGAATTCGTCATCAGACTGGTTCAACCATTGCTGCGTCACCATCTCGGCATAGAGCAACACAAGCGTGATACCTATTCCTTGATTCCATCTGACAAGCAGCAGGATCTAAAGCAATGCACAGCATGCACAACCAAAAGTATCGCACTGGCAGTTTGTCAGGCTACAGGCAACGAGGAGTCCCCATAGACTTACTCATCATCGGGAAGTTGATTCAAGCAATGTCTTCAGTGTCTCGTAAAGGTAGCTGCAGACTCCAACTCTCCTAATTCATCCTTGGCTGGTAGCTTGAGGACAAGTCTTCCCCAAAAAGATCTCGAATGCTACTTGGAGGATTCCGAATATCTGCTTCAAGGTTTTAAGAATCGCATCAAGAACGAGATGTACATCTCTCTCTCTCTCTCTCTCTCTCTCTCTCTCTCTCTCTCTCTCTCTCTCTCTCTCTCTCTCTCTCCTTCTCTCTCGCTCTCTCCTCTCTTAATCTCTTCTTCCATTCTGCACATTTTTGATCCTCCACGAATCTAGCATGTATCATTCACCAACAATCGAGGATCCTCGTGATCGTCCTCTTTCATGTTCTTGTTCATGTTCTTGTTCATGTCTTGCTTCATCTTCTCCATCATCAAACAACTATCAACATGATCCTCCTATCCTTCACATCCCTGACCTGACTGTTCTCTCCCAATCCCATGTCACCTTCAAATTTCCCCATCAAAATCAAACTCTCCCACCCGGACCCTCCCACCCCTCCATTTACCACATACTACCCTCATCTTTAGCACGCCCCCACACGCCCCACCCTTTTCTTACCTTACTACCTCACCCCCAAGAAAATCACTACCCCTCCATATGATTTTATTACCCCCATCATCTTGAACAATCCTCCATGAAAAAGTACCCTGTCAGTGGTCAAATTCTGACCCCCCACCCCTCAATTCAGATCCACCCCACCTGCAGAGTGCACGGCGAGATGAGCCTCAAGTTCCTTGATGGCAGATAGGATGGACGGACGGACGGACGGACGGAGAGCAGCAGCAGCAGCAGCGAGAGGAGAAGAATACATGGCACTGAAGGTGTATTGATTTGTAACGTCACGGGCAACATCTCGAGAGAAAGGGTCAACCAACATCCCATGGTTCTCAACTCCAGCTCCCCCAGTCGAAGTCAGGGCCTGAAAGCAGTCAAGCTAGTTCTGCTCTTCGTATTTGTGAACAACAGCGCACCAATTCAAACATGGGCCTCACATGCTCGCACTGGTTTGTATTCCCGCCACACGATCTGATAGACTGAACCCCACGTTCAGGTAATCCCACCAGGACCTCTCGAAGGAGTGTACAAACACTTCGCTTGAGAGGTTTCGGACCGCTTCTCTATGGTCCATTTCAATACTATCATGCTTTTTAGCAAGATCACTCTTCCAAATTTGCAGAGAAGCAGCAGAAGCAACATCATAATACAAAGAAGAGCAAGAAGGTGTTCCAATTTTACACTCAATGTGTTAAAAAGTTGCTGAAACCACCTCCAGATTGAAGAAGAATCTTCAAAACTTCAATGCACATATGAGAAGTTGAACATGTCAGATCCTAATATGTTTTCGTATGAGACGTATGATATCGATCCGGGGAAAGCTTTCCTCTTCGATGTACCTGCCCGGTTACTCGCTCATGTGGTGACGTTTTGGAAAATAGGATGGTCCCTTCAATGCCGAAAATTGCACAGAAGTAGCTTCCAATGAGACAGCGTACGCAGTAAGACTGACCGAGGAAGCCTTGTAATGCTTGTCTGTCATTCCTTGAACCAGATCCTGACTGTCACGAAGTAATCCCACCCTTTTCGGCGACAACGAAAGTGAAGTTGGATGGAATGCATCGGTGAAGATCCGTGTTAATCTTCAATGGGGCAATGCTAATCACATGAAATTTAAGAATTTTTCGTTTCCTAGCCTCCCACAAGTCGTGAGGGGTAACGAGAACTACACAGACGACTCTGAAGACGACAGCAATGCCGAGATAGAGCGACAGGTAGGATGTCTGGACGATTGATCGCGAGATCTCACGAGATTTGGTGGAACAGTCAAGAGAGCTGCTGGATGCGTGTGGTGATGAAGACATGGAAAGAGTTTTTCGCGCAATAGACTCTGGGGCGGACGTTAACTTCGCAACGTGATACTTGTCACTTGTGGACGCTCTAGCCTGACAACGTGCGTTCACAACCAGGGATCATAACTCGGCTCTAAATTTGGCCACCAGAATGGGCAACTTCGAAATCATGGAAGTGTTGATCAAACATGGAGCCAACCTCTCATTGGGGTGATGAGTTTGGGGTGCGAGGAGTGGGAGGAGACTTTCTAACATGTGTTTTCAGAGTATCCTCGACCACACCATTACACACCGTCGTGCAGAAAGCTGACAGAAACATGGTTCCTTCAGAATGCTCTGCTCCCGTGTTCTGAAGTGAGCTGTGGGCAGATCGATTTCCTCTTGTACTGCGGGGCTGATGTCCGAGCTCGAGAACCATCCATAGGCGCTACACCGCTGCACATTGCTGCTCAAGAGGTAAAACTCTCTTCCGATCCTCCGAAGCCTCATGAATATTTCGGTCAGGACCACGTCTCCGTTATCACGAAGCTGCTCCAATGCGGAAGTAGGGTTGACGACCCAGATGATTGCGGTGCATGCATTGACTGCTGGCGCTCAAGTGCAGTCCGGGTGACAGGTGTCTCACTGCAGGACGTACAGCATTGCATTATGCCGCCATTTACGGGAAAGTTCGCGCCTGTCGTCGACTCATCGATCATGCGGCCAACGTACGTTTCTGCTTCACCTCTTGCATGCCTTGTCAACCAATATGCAGATTTATCTGAGGGACAACGAGGGAGACAATGCTATTCAAGTAGCACTCCAGGTGAATCTAACTCAGCATTGCCTCCTCACTTCTCCGACCTTGACTTTCCGTACAGTCGCCGAAGCGGCGGAGCGCTGGTTTCGCAGAGGTCATCAGCACACTGATGCAGGCCTGTGGATCTCCAGCTAGCGTTGGTTTCACTAGCATGAGCATAGACGCAGGCAAGAAGATCCTCTCGCTCCGCATCGTCTGTTTGTGATACACTTGGCAGAAAGACAACGAGAACTGGATGCAGAGCAGATCATCGAGGAATGCGACGACAACTTGGACACGGTGGAAGAGAATGTGTAGCAGCCCTTGATCAGGAGGAGATGACTGGATGCTGAGAAATCTGTCGACGCTCATGCTTGTTTCAACCACAAGGTCTCGCAGCCGAAGACAAGGGCAACAAAAGCGCCAGGGCCCAAGAAATCACGGCCATCCTGTGGTTGTCTCTTGATATTGCAAGGAGCCACAGGGCAGCCAGCACAACATTGAGGGGGTAGTTGAGGACGTGATAGACGGCATCGGGAGGTGTGTTGGGGTAGTAGAAGACGCCTCGAGCGCGCCCCCCGCTCCATTCTTCTCCCACCATCGACTTGACCGTGTCTTCTTTACTCAAAGTTAAAGATCAGTACGAGTCCGTCAGTAGTGTTTACTGAGCCCGACTGGCCCCGGCCGGGGAGTGACCGGTCGGACCGGACAGCCTGGCAGTGTGACTGCCCGGCCCGGGCCGCCGGCCGGGACTCGGGCGGCGCGCCGGCCGGGCCGGGCACGCCGGCGTCACGGTACGCCGTGACGGTCCGCGCAATCAGCCCGGGCCGAGTCGCCCGTGACCCCCCGGACCCGGCGTCACTCAGTGGTCAGTCGCCGCGCGGCCGGGGGGGCTTTCAAGTTGGACCGTCACCGGCGGCGGCGTGTCAGTGTGCTCGGCGCCGCTGAGCCGGGCCGGGGGCTGGGGCCCGGCCCGGATGCGGCGGCCGCACCGTGGCACCGGGCCGCCTTTGCCCGGGGCAGCCCGGACCCGGTCACGGCGGGCGCCCGGCCGCCGGGCCGCCGTGTGATTTTTGCCGCGCCGTCAAGTTGGTACTAGTTTCAAGTTTTGTCGGAATATAACGCTGGCGGCCCGGGGCCGGCTCGGAGCCGCCGCCGCCGCGAACTACTAGGCTACTAGTAGACTTGCCACGACGGTGAAATCATTAGTGCACTCACTGGCCGAGGCCCCTCTCGTCCGGCCCGATGACCGTACCGGCGTGCCAGCCGCGCGTCACGGCGAGCCATCCCTGCAGTGCGCCGGCCGGGCCCCCGACCTTCAAGTTGACTCGCCGGACAATGGCTTTTTAAGGCCCAAAGTTGACATGGGGCCCCAGGGTCGAAACTTGTGGCTGAGTCAATCAGGAATGAGAACAAGGTGATAGAGAATGATAACAAGAAGCCTACGTTTGCTCGTTGTAAATGAAACAGAAGGCATCCATGCTCGGCCCCGTACCGATCGGGCTCGCCTGATTGTTCTACGGGCGGGAACAAGGCCAAAAGAATGTTTCAGCGTTCCGATATGATTGTCATGCTTCACTCACCTCTACACTTGTCGTGGGAGAAATGTCCCCTTGCAACAGTGTTGTTTGATGCCACATTGTGCCTTGCGTGCAGGAATGATTGTACTGACATACCCAAACTTCTTCGAAGTTGGCAATCATCAGATCTCCAAGACCACCTGTGCTTGCCGACTTCAGAATGTTGTATGGCTTCATTAGATTACCATCACAGAGTCTTGATATACACAGCATTTCAGCAGCGACATGTCTTACCGGAAACGAAAAAAAATGGCTGGGGATGAACAGAGTCCGCAGAGTGTCGAATGATTTCCTCCCACGTGGAATCCAAGCTACACTCATGTGGCAATGAAGGAATGCAAGCCGACCAGGAATAGTTCCTCAACAGGGTACGCTCCATGCCAACTGCACTCGTCACAGATGCAACACTCAGGGTTTCAACTCGGCAATCAGCTGAAACATGCATTACCTGGACATTCTCCACACGTCACAGCTCCGGTGACATTGGCAGCACTCGAATTCATCGCGCTTGTAGGGCATGAAGGGCAGCGCACAAGACCAGTCAGGTTGGATGCAGTTCCTGGAGGGCAGGGAGTGCAAGACGTAGCTCCCTCTTCGTTGGAATAGGTTCCTGCAGGACAAGGAGTGCACTCGGTCTGCCCTGAACCGCTGTACTTGCCTATTCCATGAGCATGAGCAAGTTCAGATTAAATATACACATCCGATATGATTGCTATCATCGCACCTGCTGAGCATTGCTGGCATCCAGGAGGAGCTTGTCCCATGATCAAGACACTGCCGTTCCCTCTTCCAGTGCTAGAGTACCATCCAGGATCGCACATGGGGGGGGCTCGTGTGTCACAAAACCAGCCCTCTTTGATGTCGAGGTAGCTGTAATGACCGTATAGGTAACAGTTCCCCTTCCAGCCAAAGCAAATGTTGAAATTGCATGCATCGCAACCGCAATGGACGCAACCATTACAATCGCCTGATGGATCCGTGCTAGGGTCCCAAGTTTCTCGGTAGTCACCGAAGGTTTTCCTCACATTGTTGTACTTGCAGTCAGCATGGCTGTTGCAGCTCTGATATGTCATCTTCCACCATGCATCGACATTGAGTGCAAGCGACGTCAGGATGACGAACATGAGCCATCCTCCTGCTGTTGACGTTGCTTTCCCAATCATTGCGGGCATTACAGGTTGCTTGGATGTGATGACACAACTACGTATCAGAGGAGGTTGAGTCAGCGAGCGAGAGGATGTAGAGGGCTGGCAGAGGTACAGCACAACTGTTTCTGAAGGGGTGGGTGGTATACCCCAGCTACCGGTCCACTTGCCAAGTCTCACGAAATCTCTCAGGCATCGTCCTGTAATGTTGGGATGTTATTTCAATATTTCAGAGATCTTTTCCAAGTTCGTTATGCAGGTTTCGGACTGTAAACGGACTAGCATACTAAAGTTTATACTGGTCAACGGTAGTACTAGTATTCTGGTCACTACTAGCGGTGGAGCCTGATTTAACTCAACTTTGACTAAAGTCGAATCGAGTCAGGCTGTGCGGCCAACCCTGACCCGGCGTGATCGGTGATCGGACACTGGTGACCTGGAGTCCGGCTGGTCGCCGGCCGGGGGCCGAGGGCCGCTCGTCCGGTCACTACTAGTGACCCGGAGGCTATGGGCAGTAGTGATGGCAGACTGTTAGCTCAGTGCTCCACGTTGTGGCCGTGGCAACCAGAGTTCGATTCTCAGACCCGACATGGCCGCGGGCCCGCCCCCTCACACCTTTAAGGTTGCAGCAGCGCATCAGCTTGGTGGCTGTCACTGACCGTAATAAGTTTCTTCATGGATTGCCGGTTGACCTCCTGCTGCACGGCGATAAATGCCACCATCTTCTCCGTCATCCTGGGGGACTACATACATGGCAACCTGCGCTGAGGCACCGCAGCCCGGTACTATGATGGACTGATGCGCATGAGAAGTGCAATGCCGTCTCAGTACCCTCATCAGTGTCTCTCGGCCTCGCAGGACGTCTCAGGTGATCCGACTTGTAAACGCACGTGGTCCAGGATCTTTCGTCAACTCAAGGCCTCCCTGTCCTTCACTGCCATCATCGCAGGTGCGTTCCGGTATGCGTCTCATTCCTTCGGCGACGGCCACAGCGACTTCGCTGGCATGGCGCAGGGGAATGGTCCTGTGCGCAGTAGGTTAGAGCTATGGACAACTTGAAAGGTTCAGTCACAGAGTCCGGTGATCTCAGTACGGTCGCGATGAGGCTGCCGCACCGTCCAATAGATATCAGTATAGTCCTCTGACTGATCGGAAATTCATAGTTTTTCTGCACTGAAGTGTACCGTAGGCAGTACTTATGGCGTGTTTGGATGACCGAGTGAGTGACGGAGTGATATCAGCCTGATATACTATAATCATTCAATGTTATGAGTCCACTACAAAGACGGACATCTGTACTGCAGTTCGCATGATGGTGTAAACTGTTTCACAGCACAAGGAGCAAGTGCCATGGCGTTGCCGCAGACGTGCACTCATTTCTGAATGGTTTGGATCATCGAGACCACCATAAACGTGCACTCTATCTGAGAAACATGGGATCAAGCTGTTCCTAGTTGCAATCACCAAAAGATGGTAAACCACAAGCATTCAGCGAATTACAAGACAAAAATGTACAAAGCCTCCTCGCTAAGCGATTCCAGGCTGAAATTCTCATACGGAGAGCACAGGATACACCAGGGACTATTCAGCCTATTGGTGATCGGGAAAAACGACATGAGACAATGGGAGGATGCAGTTTCACGAGAGAGAGCCAGTCCAGAAATCACACTGTGTTGTCGAGCCGCCCGACTGACCAGCAGCCGATGACACTGGTGAATCTTCTGTTGCATCAATTTGATGGGGAGCGTAAAGAGGCAACTTTGGCTAACAAACAAGGGAGCAAACAAGAATGAATTCAGAATCTGCATTGTGAATCAAAATAAATTGTACCACAGCAATGATCAGTAGATTTGCCAGGCTAACCAATCAATCGCCTTACATTCTCGGTACTCAGTGTGGCACAGGACCATGTGAGTTTCTTGCCGAATCCCAATCTCATAATCTCTGAAACTTGATAGTGATTTACAAGCCGAATGCAACCAGAGACACATTCTTTTTTCAGATCATGTCGACTTCTCAGATGTGCATGCGAAATTTTAATGGGTTGTCAGATGCCTGCAAAGGAGCTCGCTGGTCTGAGCTTAGAGATGGCGATAAGAAAAGGGGAAATGCACGTTCCTTGAAACATTTCTGATCAATTTCCTGGTTTTTGGTCCAGTTGGACTGGTCGTGATACTACGGGCCTTCCACTGACATCTTTTCGCTCAGCTGCTTTCCATCGTAACTTGGGCATAACGACCTCGAAATGGAGCGGCAAGAGAATCGAGATGAAGGAACACATAGGAGAGGAACGCGGGCAGGGCCGGAGGCGGAGAGGGAGGCAGGGAGGATCAGTTCGAACTAACAAAGTTGTAATGAAGGATTCTCTTGTCTCGAGTTTCAACAGCATTCTTCTAGGCTCACCAGGATCTTCCAAACGGCCCGTCTCAAGGTTCCGACAGTTGGGCATACATCCTTTGCCATGATCGCAAGCTTCGCTGGACGGTACTTCAGAGTATGCTCTCCACCGCAGTTACTTGAAAGTATCACAGTTGACTTTGATTCAAGTCTACTTGCTACTAGCTTCAGTACAGCTTTACTTTCCATACAGGTTTACTTTCATGCCAGTACAGGTTACTTTCAAGCCAGTACTTGTTTACTTTTGAGTCTCAGCACCGTGACGGCGTGACCCAGTCAAATCAGTTTCAAAGTTGCAAGTTCTTGCTATAGCTTCGATGAAGTCGGAGCCTCAAGTTCTTTTGCTCTCTCAGGCCGACCGACAACTGGCGTCAGAACACCAGGAGGCGCAGCCAGCGCTAGATAGTGAGACTGTCTGAGCCTTTAGAGCGCAGCCGCTTTGGTCGAGACATTCGAACTTCTTCTGCCTCCAGGGAGTGTCCGAGATCGTTCATTCATGCTTCAAGGTGCGCAAGTCTCATCAAAGTGAATGTCGAATATCGTCACGGGAGGGAGCTCATGTCTGTTGAATCGTCAGAGCTGAGAAACCAGTCAAGCCACTCGTTGTTGACTAGAAGCTCCCGGTGCTCTTCGTCCCATTCTCCAAGAATTCTTAGCTCCTCTGGCGTTGCGCTGGCCGTCAAAGGAACGAGCATACCATTGGAGGAGGAGGCAGGGTCTGAGGTTTCCCCCATCGGTTGGATTGGAAGGTTGTGAGCATGAAGTGCTTTTGACGACTGAGCCACTTCGAGGGAAGAAGACCAGAGAGTAGATGAATCATCGTGTGTCCTTTCATCAGTCTTGCTATGGCCTTCACAAGTTCCCGTCAGCTCTACCGCCTGCTTCAATGTCGATGGCTGGATGCTTGAATGCGTTCTCGCAACACCCTCGAGCTTGAATCTTGTGTACGGCCATCGCTTCAGCCCCAGCTGCCGGCATGCGCTCTTGAGGCTTGTGAGAGAGATCCCCTGCACGAGCGAGTACGTGTCAGCGTTTTAGTACGGCATTGAGGTCAAGTCTTGAACGGCAAGAGAGGTTGAGGCAGACTACTGACAACATTGGGAGCAGAAATAGCAGTACCAGAAGGCTTGCGGCGTCTTCTTGACGGAAGTCGTAGAATGCCTCTAGCTTGTTCAGCGTGAGTTCTACGCGCCTTCCTGGGGTTCCCTTCCTTGAGCCAGCTCTTCCTCGTACAATAATGGTTCGGGACATGGTCGGTGCTGAGGCCAGGGATGTTTCAGAGAAGAAGGATGATGGACAAGGAAATGGGAGCAAGCTTTTTTGCGTGCGAGGATACAGCGTCTGACCTTGATGAAATAGCCGGACCGTGGGTTTATTCCATATCTGCACCGGCAGGCGGCATATCCCATGACAGGGCGTAAAGCGGGAGGAGTAAACGAAACAACTCAAAACACGACGCTTGGTCACGCGGGCCCCGGAAGGAGCTGCCGTTTGCACCGGTCTAAAATCAACAATGGGTCCCGTGCCGCTGATCACGCGCTCCAAGTCACAGTCACTGAGTCCGACTCGGTCCCGGCCGCCGCGGCTGACCGGGCTCTTGATGAACCGCTTATTCTTTTCCTCAAAGTTAAGTTAAAAATCAGTATGAGGACCGTGACAATCAGGAGAGTAGCCGCTGAAAAGTTGCCAGAGAAACTTCAAGCCGGGCCCGGCGTCAAATGTCCGGGTCCGACACCGCAGGGGCGCGCGGTATACAAGTTCAACTGAGGCTTCTGAACCTTTACACAAAGTGAAGTGAAAAATATGTACGAGGACAATCAGGAGACTCGTCGAGGAGGCTTGACCCTGCTGAACAATGATAACCCGGCGTAGTACTACTGTCACGAGTCCTAGGCTCACTGTACGGTCAGCGGCCGGGCTGCCAGTCAGGGGCCGCCCGGGCCCGGCCGGCACGCCGCCGTGACTCGGGCTCAGGGTCCGAGAGCCTCCGAGTCCGATCCGACATCGGATCGGACAGCGGCTTAGGCTCCGAGCCTGGCCGCCCAGCGAACGAGTCACGGCGCGGCAGACCGTTGGCACTGAGGCTCCGAGGCGGCGGCGGCGGCCCGGGGCCCGGCCCGGACTCCGGGTGCGGCCGGCGTGACTCCGAGTCACTGAGTCAGCCGTTCACTGCTGCTTCTTCAGGCAAACAAGTTGGTGGCCGGCCTCGTGAGGACGGGCAAATTTAAACTTACAACCCCACCCTCCTCATGTTCTTTCCCGATCCCGGTATCTTGATCGATTTTACCTATTGCTCTACTTATAACTTCAGAGAGCCTTGCTACACCATATTCTGCATTACCTATTGACTACCCCTCCTCGGCCTCCCGTCCACCCCCTTTGTGTGTCTCCCCCCCTTTCAACGGTCTGAAATTTGAACCATCAACCAGCTCCTGCACCCCCTGCCGCAGACACAGCCGTACATGCATTCTATGCTGGCATGCCGAACATTCATCGTGCCAAGCCCTTTTCTCGTCCTCTCGTCCTCTCGTCCTCTCGTCCTCTCCCCCCTCTGTCATCAATCTTCTTCTTCTCAGTCGCTCTTTTCCTTTCTTTCAAATTTCATCTTATAGCTATGCTAGCACATGGTTGTAGTGCACTTCAGGAGCCCATGACATTCTGACATCTTTCTGCTTTCATTATCTGATGTTGGATTCCCCCTCTTATACTCACAGACCCCTTTCAGCCTCTCACCCTCCTTTCTTTATACGTTATATTTCCTACGTCATATTCCACTGCTCAAACACTCCCCACACCTTCTGAAATCCCTTCTCTTTTCAAGTCTCCATGCGATTCCTCGTTCCTCGGTGACTTCCACCTGACATTCTTCCAGATGCTCAAGAGAACACCAAGGAAGAGAGTCCCTTTCGGCGATGTTGAGAGTGAGATCAACGCAACTGCTGATGAGACCAACATCATGAAATCAGGTAACACAATTGAAACCACTTGTAATGCCCTCCCTTCCTGCAGCAATGCTCATGCGCTCACCGTCTCCATCGCCAGGAGGAAAGGGAAAGAGATTACTCTGCAGCCCGGGCAAGAACAACTATCCCTCTGCCAAGAACCCGGACCTCCTCCTCGAGGTCAAGGACGACACGCAGTGGGACGACGTGAGCAACGAGATCAATGCCTGCTCTCCTAAAGATCTCTCCTCCATCGAGCTGTCCCTGGGAGAAAGCAGGAAGACCCGTTCCTCCCGCAAGACTCCCTCCACGAAGAAGGCCGAGCAGGAGGACCAGGAGAACGTCGTTGATTCGCATCCTCAGCCCACCAAGACTCCAACTCGCTCCAGGGCAAAGGCTGCCGCTGCAGCTCCAGTAGATGTTCCAGCACCAGCTCCAGTCGCAGAAACAGCGCCAGCCCCTCCTCCTTCCGTCTCCTCCAAGAGCGACTCTCCAATCCTGGCCAGTCCTGGACCTGTGACCCGCTCCCGGAGCAGGAAGAGCGTGACGAAGCCCATGGAAATGAAGGCCGAGGAGAAGAAAGAAAAGGCCACCGAGGAGAACCAGGTCGAGGAGAGGAGGGAGGAGAGTAAGGAGGAAGTGAAGTTGGAGGAGGAAGTTGCTGCTGTGACGGCGGGGGACCTCGATGTTGAAACAACGGTGTCTGCGCCGTTCCCGAAGATGTCCGAGAGGAATCTGCCTGTTGTGATGATTGGAGTCTTATTCTTTCTTGCCATGTCTGCGGCGATGTTCTTTTTCCTGAATTCTTCATCATCTCGCGTCGAGTTGTAACTCAGCTCTGCTTGAGAGCTTCCGCTGTTTTTGTCCTGCTACTGACAATTAATGAAGAGATCGATTTTTGATCGTTTTCTCTTACTGAAAGAGCATTGAGATTTGTATTGTGACGAGACTTACGATGTTCACACCCGCACACCTTGAAACATCTCAGTGAACGAAAACGACATAATTCCTCACATGATCATCAATAGCAAGACGTGGAGGTCAGGATATCGTTGTGGTGGCTTGATCTAGCACGTGTCATGCCCTTTGGTGTTGTCAAAGGTTTGCGAACCGAGAATTCCAAAGCATGCAGAACGAGGGTGACGCCAATGCTCCTGTCGGTCTTTTGATGAGATGGCAGTGATGAAGAAAACGTCTCACCCTGCATAAACGACTATTGCACATGTTTTCATCAACCTTGACATCTGGCAAGCTTCCATCGGTGGGGAACAAGAGAAAGAGAGTTGAACCTGGAGAGGTTGCACTTGGTTGTGGATGTAGAAGATCAACATCCAGGAAAGCGCCAGCATTACAAGATATGGTTGGAGAAGGCCATCCCTGCACCGGAGCAGTCTTGATCAGCACGGTGAACGACTCTGCCCTCATGTCGGCTGGTTGATGCACCTGAGGAGTAGCGGAAACATTCCGACAATTGCAAAATGGGTGAAGAGAGGAGTGAGCAAGGCGAGAACTTGATCAGACATGGCGAGCTGTCAGCTGTCAAGCACTTGGCGTTGAGGTCGGATTGATGCGATACCAGATGGAGAGGGAGGAGAGGAAAGAGAATCGATTTCTCATGGACCTGTGGCGAGTTGTCAAGCGAGAAAATGGGAGGAAGGGAATGGCAGTTGAGATCAGGGTCGTGAGTGTACCTGGTACGCAAACAAGAAGAACGCAAGGGAGGAAGTCAGCAATCCCATCAGGAAGTTCTTTGACGTTGGTGATCTGAGGAGGACGATCGCTGTTTGATACAGTCACTACCTGACCTTCTGTTACCTTGCACTGATCGCTGCTGACCTGCAGGAATGAAACCCAAGATGGTAGCAAACATGCTGAGCGTCACGAGCTGGAGAAGAAGAGAATCACAGCGAGGAGAGGAGAGGGAGATCAGCTGGGGAGTGAGAAGGAGAGAGCAGAGAAGGGCAGGATAGATGGGAGGGAGATCTAGGTTCATGTGCGGAGGAGGGGCGAGAGGAGGGTCGACGAACTTGATTGGAGGAGAATCTCGTTTTCCAGCGGAGCAGAGGGGCGGAGGCACACCTGCTCAATGAGATCAGGAGAAGAAGAAAAGGAGGGAGGGAGGGAGGGAGGGAGGGAGGGAGGGAGGGAGGGAGGGAGGGAAAGTGGAGGGAGGAGTGATCGGAATGGAGTGTTTCAAGCACCAAAAATTGGCAACTTTGTCTTCGAACAGCCCTCTCTTGATGGGGAAGATCCTGTGTATGACCTGAAGTCGCTCAGAGCCTCGTGCCTTCTCCCTGGCTGTCTGACTGGACTCACTTGTAAGGTGCTCTCGACCGACAAGACCCACGGGAAGAAGCAGATAGCAAAGGTGACGATGACCGTAGCTCCTGCGGGTAGAAACCAAGAAATCATACAGGGGGGCAGGTAGATGAGAGGGCGTTGAGGTGATTTCATGTTGTTCTCACCAAGTTTTGCGATGTCAAAGGCAATAGTGTGCAGCCTCTTTGACTGGAGACACCTTCCGAGAAGGTAGAAGAACATGGCCTGCCATGCTGCGTGTCAAAAAGCTCCTTGTGCCGTCACTTTGAAGCTTCACGGGTGAGTAGTAGAGGGCGATCTGCTTGAAGCAAAGTGAGCAACAGAACCTGCAAAAGTCAAGGTCAACGTCAAACGTCAAAGTTAAAATCAGACGTGAATGTCCAATGTTAAAGCCATCACAAGGCAGAATCGCCGCAAAATTCTCATCGACAGAACCATCGGGCTGACGTTTTTCAGCTCGATCTCGAGATCGAGAGTTGTGGCACTCACAGGGCACTTCCGAGCATGTCGTCGGAGGTGATCTGCGATCCCGACTTGCTCCTCCTCTTCTTCTCCTCCCCGCTCACTAGGAAGGCGATCGACCAGGCGGTCAGCCCAAGACCTGAACGAGCGCATGTTACTGTCAGTCCACACGGTAGGGAGCGTGCCGACAGATGCTGTTGAACTGGAAGTGCCCATGGTCGATGAGAATAAGCCCGGGAGAAAGCAAACCCAGCAGGAGACAAACTCTTTTGGAGCTGCTTGAATGCTTGTACAGCGATCTTGCAACGGAAAACATGCCGGTGTAGAACACGAGAAGGTCAAACAACAAGACAATCGTCTGACCACCTTTGTCATTGCATCCCTTACAAGAGAATCTTCTAACCCTCATTCTGATCTTGGAAGCTGCTGTTTCATATCCTCGAGATTTATCTGCACATCACAATCATCAGCAATCTTGATCATCATGGCTGTGTTACGAGCCATTCCTCTCCCTCTCCTCCAAATGTTCCCGCC